CTGGATTATGGAGAAAGCCTGAGAGTTCCATAAAAACATCTACTTCTCTGGGGCCTCTTATAATTGCAAATCTTTAATGGTCATTTAATTAATAGAGGGAAAGAAGCCAGTCATGATAACTTGTTACCTGCTGGATGCTTTCCATAAAGAGAAACACTTGTCTATACCTTAAAGAAGTATAGAGAGCAGAAGTATCTGTAATGTAATGTGCAGTTTGTCCCAGAGTTTGAAATCTGAATCCCACAGAACTCAGTAGGAATGTGATGTTGAATCTGTGTTTCACACATAACAGAAGTGGAAAAACAAATATCCAAGTCCTTTTATGAGCCAGCAGTAAGTATAGCTGTAGGCATCTGCTCGCCACATCTGCAGCCTCTGCCACCAGGCACCACCAGTTATGCATGTGACAATAGCATGCACCTGTAAAGGAGTCACAGACTGTATAGATGAGGGAGTATCACACATCTTGAAACCCACAGTTCCCTGTCAGAAGCTACTCTGTTTATGAACAAATAAAGAAGTAATTCTAGCTGTTAACAGGAATTGGCTGGGGGGGGAAAAGATTTATTATGTCTCTGTTGATTTTCTGAGACACTCATTAAACAAATGAGCTTCATTAAGGAACAGAAATATAAAAATATTTTTACAATAGTTTCAAGAAGTCCTGATAATCTTCATTGCAATGCTTTTTTTAAAAAAAATATTTTTCTATGTAGGGCTCCTCTTTATACTCTGCAGTCAGCTAGTTTAAGAAATGAGCTGAACAGTTTCAAGTAAGTAAACAGAAAGTGTACCTCATCACCCCCAAATAACCAAAGCCTTGGTGTCTGGTAGTATTTGTCATACGTGATGTAAAGATCATATGTCCTAGTCTGCAGAATAGCTTCTTCGCCACTTCCAGCATCTGTTTTAGCCTTGGCAGCTTCCACTATTTTCCTCGTATCCAATGTTGCCTGCAAAAGATATAAGAAACAAATAAGTTACTCCAAAGGGTCAGCAATTATCCGCTACCCACCAAGCTCAATGTCTAGGGGGCAATGTAAACTCGTATCATATTATTTCAATTTCATGCAGCATGCCACTTTGAGGATTGCTTTAATGAACCCAAGATGAAATAAAAAAGGCATTAATGCCACCAGAAACAACAGTACACTCACATCATCTGTCTCCAGCAGCCCACTCTCTTCGTATTCTGAAAGAGTAAAATAAAAAGACATTTTTTCCTTGTAGTGTTTTTGCTAAAACATATTCAGGATAGACAAGAGTGTTTATAAAAAAACCCCTCTCAACTTAAAACTATATCCTCCACTTTACTGAGATACAGGCACTATGCTAAGAACAGGTTGTTACCTGCTTCCATCCCAACTCTTCAATAGGCTTTTGTTTTGTCACAAAATGTTAATTCTGGGTGGTGGCATAGAATTGTTTTTAAATAAATATTAATATAGGGTTGAAATAAAAGGTAGCCATCTGGTCCAGACAAAATAAAATACAAATGCAAAAACAGGCAATACTTTTATCTAAAAAAAATCATTGTACGATACACAAGCTTTCGTGGATTAAAGCACCACTTCATCAGGTTTGCACCAGTGTGAAGAACTTAAAAGTCCAAAAGTTCATGGGAAGATGGATTTTGCCAGGAAAGTTACTCTTAGATGTACGTTCCAAAAGTTCTTGGCAAGATGGAATTCGACATATACTGTATAGTACTTTCTGACTTGCATCTGGGAGACGTCCTTGGTGGATTCGATCTTGCCATGAATTTCTGGACTTTAAGCTCTTCACACTGGTACAAACCTGATGGTGTTTGCATCCATGAAAGCTTGTGTACTGTATGATGAATATTTCAGTGGTCTTCTATATCACCTACTTTTGCATTTGTATAAATATATGAATTGTTTATGTGTTTTTATAGTTCCTTTATTTTGTTTTAATACTACACTAGACACTGTTCCAAGTCCTCTATTCAAAGCACGTTACCATAGTCTCTCGAGACTGAAGGATACCTAATCTAAATCTAAGTTCCCTTATTTGGAGAGTTAGAAAAGTATAGGCTGTTGGGTCCCTTATATTAAATTCAATGTTCGTTTTTTTAAATTTGGCAATTGCTTCCACAGGTAGATGATCCATAGAATATTACTGAGGCATACATTCTCTCAATAGATTGGCATATGCATTTTAAGACTACAGTTTAACTGTTATAAATCTCTTCGTAACATTACTTTTTGCCACATTCACAAAAGATGTAACTGGTGCCTTCTTCAGGGCAGCTTTTTAGGTATTTAGATAACTAAAGCAAAGTTGGAGACATCATGCTGCAGGTAGCATTTCACATAAAAACATCCTGACGTAAAATGAATAAACATTCTTGTTAGTGAGTGAATGAAGTCAGAACACAACAGAAAGGTTTTATATCTGTTCTAGTTACACTATATGTTCCAGTGAAATCTGCTTTTACATAAGACGCAACTACCTTCCATGTCTGCTGCCTCTCCCTCGTCATCGTCATCATCCTCACATGAACCTGAGCATTCTGGTACCTTTATACTTTCCTTTGAAGAAAAAAGGGGGGAAAAACACAAATTTCCATCTTTAACACCACCTCAAGTGTTTCCATGGCAGATCTGGGAAGCACACAGCTATGCTGTTTTTCCACAGCAGCAGTGGAAAAACTAGGAAACCGGCTGTTTACTCTAGCATCAAAATACAAAGACCATGTACAGTATTTGAGACCTAGGGGAAAACGTAGTCTAATAATTTAAAATACATGTTTACATATCTATTGCTCCAATTGAGAACAAGCCATAGGCCCTCCAAGTAGAATGCAACAGATTAAAAACAAATAAACCAATTGCTGAAAATATCCATGTTTTCAAAAAGAAAAATTCTACCTTGCAGATTAAAACCTGGCTTCACACATCATGACAGCATACTGAAATATTATGTTTATGGCCGTATAACTAAAACTAAATCACTATTATCTATAGCTAGCTATTTCTAATGGAACTTGGAAATCAGTACTGCTTTGTTAAACTCTGCACCATCTTTAAAACAGGTAATCACACTCCTTTAGCACTGCAGAAGCATCTATCTGATCTTTTAGTACTCTTGGCGGAATACTGGAAGGCACCATCAAAGAACAAAACCCAATCTGTCCTGTTGCCAATGAGAATGTACCTTAGAGGATATGCCCCCCCAAGAGCAGGAGAAGAGCAGCATCTGTGCCCGCTGCCCCCTCTCTCTATAGCCCTGTGCAACGTTGTAAAAAAGGGGGCCTGGGGCTGTTCCAGAGCAGTGTTAGGTGGATGCAGGGTGAAGAGGAGTCAGAAATGTCTCCACCTACAGTCCACAGGGGTGAAATTTATACCCAACTAATTTTCCTTTTCTTGAACAACAGGCTATTAAGAACAATCTACTATTTTTGCCAAGTATGAACAAAATAATGGTTCTGCCATTTCGAGTTATCACAGGATGCGTAGATCCACTCATCCACTTACATGAGAGTTCTTAAATACACAGCCTTTGGTAGAAGTTTAACCAAAACTTAGCTGGTTGGTAACTTTAAAAAAAATCCAGTGAAGTAAGTGAAGATCTGACATATGACCAGAGCACAAAGACCAGTAATGCAATTTGACCAATAATGCAATTTGGATCTCTCCTCTGTCCTAATTTATTAATTTAGAACTAGTTATTGTAATATCCATTGCAATGTACCTAGGAGCTTGGGAAAAAAAATGGTTTTATAATATGCTTAAAACAAATCTGTGACTTGTCATAATCTAGGCATGATGTGGGTTTACTGCTTCACTTTGCATTAGATAACTCCCACACTGTTCCAGCCCTTTGGAGACATAAAAGAAAAACATTTGTTTCTAAGAGGTGTGATTAATCCTCAAAAGTATACTGGTTGGAATCCTACTGGTATTCATGCAAGTTCTGAGTAACTTTCCAGGGTTAACTGTGGCTAATTGATGAGATCATGGGGCTCATTTCAGCTCTACTATTTGGTTCATGACTAGGCTTATTATCAAAATAAATAATGGACCTTGTCAGTAAGTTGTAATTTGATATGTCAAGTTATGCAGACTTTACACCAACATTAGTAGGATTCTGGTCACTGTGTTGCTAGACTTCTACTTTTCTACTCTTGTAACAAACTATGTACAAAGTCACAAATTAATACCTTGCTTTCCAGTGTGATCTCCTTAATGGATTCTGCTACTCCTGTAATGCCTGTCAAGTGGAGAGCACAGATAAGAAGAATCAGAACCAGAGATAAACCTATTTTATTCATTTATTTATTTATTCTATTTATATCCCGCCTATCTGGTCGTTGCGACCACTAGGTATGCATTCCCTCTGAGAAAAGTAACTATGAATCAGAATTTTCAACGACTGCTTTTTTAAATGACGATTCAGTGAGGAAAATTAAAATGTGTTCCCTGTGTTTAGATGTTAATGCACTTCAGATCATTTTTAGTACATATGAATGGAGCCAGAATCTAAGTACTTAAAAGCCAATATGCAAAATAAATATAAAAGAGAGTAACTGTAATGACCTGCATTGTGAAATGTGTCCACCCATCCTCCATCACCATCATCTTCTTCTATAATGGCTTCCAGTTCATCTGAGTACTCCATCTGTTTACATCGCTTGTAGCATGGCACTACAAAGAACAACAGGCGATGTTCATCTTCACAGTCAATCACTGAACATAAATTCTGCTGAAGCTTTTAGAATCAGATGATTTCAAAGTATTTAGTACTGTTATATGCTTGTCACCAAACTTAGCAGATGTTTAATCTCAAAGATTTCTGTCTTGGGGACCAAAGTCTTATTCTACACTAGAATGTGTTGGAAGTAACTGAGCTAAGAGCCATTTAGCACATGCCAAAAGGGATTTAGGAAACCAGTATTCACATTACTGAAAGTTGCACTTGCCTACAACAGACAAGGCAGGCCAATATCTCTCTGAATTTTAATAAAGCATTTTATGGTCAGCCGCAGACAGCGATAATCTAGAGCACAAAACATAAATATTAACAGATGCATCGTGATGTGATTATAGCACTGGTCAAATTGCCAATACAAATAAAAAGGACAAGCTAATAAAATGAGGAAAGCACACATCCATCAGTAAGCTGTTTTCCAGGTGACTCATGGGTCCCTGTGATAAAATCTGCAGCTCTACCAGTGGCAGCATTTGCAAAAATTGCTGCTTTTTTCTACCATTAAACAAGATGTAAAATGGGGATAACCACCTGTTAACCTTATCACACTGTTCAGAGAATGGCAACTTTTGCCATCACTGCAGCTAATTTCCAGGAGTTTGTTTAATAATGAGTTTCAGTCCAAGCATACACTTTGCTGTTCCTGTGGCTGCTATATATTCAGTCGCAACTACAAAACTTGTGCAAGACTTACCATTTTTAGTGACTAAAAACTGTTTGTCTGTTGGGAGATAAGCCTTGACTTTTAATTCTTCTCCTGTTGCCCTATAAAAATAGAACAAACTGATCACCTACAAAGGACAAATTCTGTGCCTTATACATTACTACTATACCTATGCTAAAGATGAAAAGACTGCAGTCAAGTAAAAATGGTTTTGTCATGTGTCTAATAGAGTATTAAAACAAAGAATGGAATTATAAGCCAAAGTGGACAATCAGCAAAAATGTCCTTTAATCATGAATGTCTTTTCACAACACATTTTCCTAGTAGCTTCAACATTTGCCTTTGTCCAACAATCAGTAGAGAAAACCAATGCAATGCAGGCACACAAGCAGTGTGGCAAGTTTCTCAAATAATTTCAGCTACCCATGGTAGCTGGTCAGAAATCAGAGATATTCACTACAGTGCCAATTTATAATTCATGGATAACTTCTTTGGTGAATTTGCAAAGCAACTATTTGTCAAAATTGGCCTTGATATACAGAATCATTTCAAAAGGGATCATATTCATGTCAGAACAAGAACAAATCCAGTCCCATCTTCACAGACTCACTAACAAGGAAGGAGAGTAATGCCAATTTATAATTCATGGATAACTTCTCTGGTGAATTTACAAAGCAACTATTTGTTAAAATTGGCCATGATATACAGAATCATTTCAAAAGGGATTACACTTCATGTCTGAACAAGAACAAATCCAGTCCCCTCTTCACAGACTCACTAACAAGGAAGGAGACAGCTAGTGAGTAGCTACAAGCAACCTGCATCTACACTTAAATGGTGACATCTAGAATGAATATGGCACCTAGTAGCTGGCAACTTGGACAGCTTTAAATGGGGACCAGCAAGATTTAAGGAGGATGGAGCTAACAAAGGGCCGCTAGCCATGATGGCTACATATCTTCGCCAGGGCAAGAGCCAGTACACTTCTGAAATCTATGCTGAATTCCCATAGCCATCTGGCTGGCACGTGGAAGACCATAAGGCTGGACTAAAAAAGGTTCAGTTTAGCTCACCAGGGCTTTTATGCCAGCTTAGCAACACCCTTTTAACTGAAAGAGAAGGGGAATCACAGAAGTCAAGTGTCTACAGATGGCGCTCATGTTATTTCATCCATGCTGTAGGAAATGTACACACAGAGGACTCCCAGACAGTAATGTGTCAGCCATTTCTAAGAGCTCTGCAGATTTCCACTTACCATTGCCAAGTAGGACAGTGGTGAACTAAGTGGTCTCCAGCTGCAACGAACTGTCAAATACAAAAGAGTAGAAATGTTGCCATATCTGATATATACAGAATTCCATCAGAGTAGTCTTAGCAAACAGATAGTACCAAAGCCTACTGTTTCTTATAGGGATAAATGGTAAATTGTTCATTCCAGCTCACACAAAACGGTTCGCAGAATAATTCCTGCAGATGTATACAAGCTTGGAAATAATTTGCTTGGACACTGGAGCTGGATTTCTGAAGAGACACAGAAGCTCTCCTCAGTCAGCCTTATTCCAAGTATGTATGAGGAGGGAAAACACAGTCTCCTGTGTCATCCTACCACATTTCCCTCACACTCTACATCTAAGGATCAGATTTCTGATGAACTGACTTTCTGACATCCATATGGATTCTCCTCATGTTTTACTAGGACCTGAATTAAAACATTCAAACAGGGCTTCAATAAATGGGATCATCTACAGGTTGAGTGGAACAGGCAGGTCTTACACATTAAAGACATTAATGGCATGAAGGAGGTATGAGGAAAGTATGGCCTGTGGGCCACATGCATTTCAGGGGCATTTTTATGTCCCTTCAATACTGGAGAAAAGATTTTTTTTTGCTTCTGGAGACCCACAGGAGTAATGATTTATATATAAAATGAGAGAGAAGTGAAGCTTAAAAAAATTACTCAACTCTCCAAAATCAAAACCACTTTAATTCTTTTTTTTTAAAAATAATGATAAAAACTCTTGGAGGCATTTCAAGATCTGGTGGGCCTTTGGTGGACACAGGGATTTTTTTCCTAAGTTAATGTAGATCAGCGATTGCCAACCTTGGGTAACGCAGGTGTTCTTGAACTGCAATTCCCAGAAGCCTTCACGAGTTGTGCTGTCCTGGGTTTCTGGGAGTTGCTGTCCAAGAACACAAGTTGTGCTGCCCTGGGTTTCTGGGAGTTGCTGTTCAAGAACATCTGGTCTACTCAAGGTTGGGCATGCTGGAATAAAGCCACAAAATTTATCTAGGCACAGATACTAAAAGATTCATATATTTTAAAAATAATAATTGAAAATTCCACCCCATTTGGGCCTTTTTCTTTATGGTTACGGAATGATGGAAAAGCCATTCATATGTATTCTTACTTATTATAAGTGCAACAACCTCTGAAAACTACAGCCACTCCCTTATTTCTGCCTCAGATCAACAACCAGCACAAACAACTTCTGTGATCCGGCAATCTACCACAAAGCACAAGGAGAAAAAAAGTAGCTAACAACAGAGTAAGTTGATCCTTCTACACAGTATTCCCTTATCATTAGATCTGACTATTATCACATGCAGGGGGAAAAACAAACAAGATACCCCGATTATCAGAGTTCCCTGCATGGAACCTGTGGGTTAAGTTTTCAAAGCAGCAATGACCTAGTCTAAAAGGCAAGCAAGGAGAGGAAGGGAAAAAGTTGGCAAATTGATGCAAGCTTACTGGTTAGCTCAACAAGAAGAGTACAAATATTCTGCTGTCTTGGTGTAAGTCAGCTTGTAAACAAATAAAAAAAGAAAGCTGGAGGGCTGCCACTCAACTATTAAGTCTTTGACATTGAATGCTGGGACTGCAATAAAATGGCCCAAGGCAGATGTTTCATCACAAACTTGGTGTTTCAGTCAGTTGAATTGGGCACACACAATAAGGTGGTTTGTTTTGAGCAGGGTAAATGTGCAGGAATCCTTCTGTAGACGAAAATAGTGGAAGTGGCTTTCTTTTTTGAAATCTTGTTTTCTACAAACTCTTGCAACAACAAGAAAACTGACGTAGCTACGTACAATCTTCCTGTAACAGGACTAAAAACAGTTCACACGCAGAATTATTCAATGCAAGCCAAAGAGCTTCTAGCAGATACGGGTGGTGACGCTTTCCTCCCACAGGGCAAGGGAAGAGTCTCTACCCCTGCAAGGACACTGAAAACTGTGGTTGCTGAGCATTTTCTTGCTCAGGAGGAAAAAAGGAGCCACCTCCCTGCTTGACTGGGGAAGCCCCTTACTAGGGAAAAGATGGCAAGCAGACTTTAAAACAGAGACAGACAAACGTTTGGCCAGGATGAGCGGGAGAAGGAAGCCTGAAAGTGCAATTTACCCCCTCCATTTTTGTCTCTGTTGCTTTACTGGTGGTTCACTTTCTTCCTCTTATCCCTCCAGAAAGTGTGGTCTCCCTACAAAATTTAACTGATTTTCTAACTCATCCCTAATGCCATCCATGGGGGGGGGGAACAACTCAATGTTAAAAAGAACTTCCTAATTCAGTTGCAAATGGCAGCAGTGAATTGTGGGTAAATTTCACCACATAGGAGACTATCAAGCAAGACATTACAAACTTGAGGAATATAGAACACTTTATGTACATCCAGCTTGTACTACACATCTGTGCTGCATCTTCAGAAGGGTGAAGGAACACCACATGGATGGTGGTGAGATGAACACAGACCCTCACCAGCTAGCAACTGAAATTGGGAAAGAACTACTGGTTACCTGAAGAAATATTAGAGTCTACAAGCTACCTGAAAAAGCCTTGGAAACACAAGCCTCCTAATGTTCACAAGGAGTTGCACATCTATAAAGTGATTATTGCTGTATCTAGCTTAATCCTCCCTCTTCATGAAGAGATGAAATACAAAACAATTTTAAATGAGATGTTATTTTGATACAGGGTTAATGAATACTTCGCAACAAAAATCTGCTCTTTGTTTCGTATTCAGAAACTCGTGTCATATATTGTAGACACCTAGCCAAAAGACAGGAGATGTGTGAATTAGATTCAGAGGAAGACTGGAAACAGAAAAGCATCATCCCATATACATGTATTTGGGGAGGAACGGTGTGATATGAACCTAGATATGTATATTTGCCCCAATTACTATGAGAAAACCATTGACAAACATGGTGACTGATGGAGTTTCAAGTAAACGAAGGTCTTCATTCATGAGGCAGTTGTATAACTGGTATGTACAAGATATCTGAAGAAATAACAAGTACTGTACAGTACCAATAATACCAGTATCAAAAAGCTGCAATGAAAATTGAAGATCATATGATAAAGAACATAAGGGTAAAGAGGAATACAAAGTGAATATGTACTTTCTCCAGTTTTTCAGTTTTGTTCTTTAAGAACAACTTAGAGTAGCACTTACTGATTCAAATAATGGTTTCACTGCTAATACTGTAGTTATCAACAACATCTGAAATACAGTTAATAGTACTAACTGACAACTTTGATGGTCTGATACACTTTGATAAAGGCAATGAAGTTAAGTAATGAACATGGTCTAGAAGTGAATATTAGAAAACTCAAGTTTGTGGTAGTAAGTTAAAAAAGCACCCCAAGAAATGAATTAAAAATTCAAAATTGAAGTGTGGAGCTTCTTGCTAATTTTAAGTACCTTGGAATTTGGTTGAATGAACAAAACCATCAAAACCATCCAATAAAAGTCAGAATAAAGATGGCCAAGAGGAGAACCTTGTTTAAGATAAAGGCTGTAATATACAAAAAAAAAGTTTAATTGGCTTTGAAAATGTGCATCATACAGTGCTATGTATTCTGGTATGCAGATGTCATTGTAATTTTATCACAGACTACCATTGAAAAGGCAGCTTGTGAAATCTGAATTTATCACAGTAAGTTTAAGGAGTGTTTAGGCTGAGATGATCAGTTTAGAAGTCTAAAATAAATATACAAAGACCAGAAATCATAACACCCCTCAAATGCAGAAAGCTAAAATATTTTGATCACCTATAGAGAAATGAAAAGCTCAGATAGCTACAGCTGATCATTCAAAATAAAATAACCAGAAAAAGACGTACAAGAAGAACAAAACTTATTGTCCAAAAACCTAACAGGAAGATTTGGATGCAATCACTGTTTAGAGCTGCTGCATCCAAAATCAGAACAGGCATGAAGCAATCCTACCTTAATATCAGTAAGAAAGGAATGAGAAGAATAATCTTGCCGCGGTGCATTTCTCAGCTGCTAGTGTACTTTGAAAATTCCCTATATTGTTTTTAAGCTACTTTTGAGCACAGATTATCAAGGAAAGGTTAGGCATCCTTCAGTCTCAAGAGACTATGGTAATGTGCTCTGTATGGAGGACTTGGAACAGCGTCTGGTGTGGCTGAGAAGGCCAATTTGAGTGTGACAATCCCATCCACATTGAAGACAAATACAATCTGTCCCCTGTCCAGCTCCCTGATTTTACTGCTTTCATGACTGCCTCTTTGCCTCGCCCTGCTGGACAACTGTCTCTTCAAATTGGGAGAGGCCATGGTGCACCGCCTGCCTCCAGGATGAACATTCAGATGTAAGTGTTTCCCATCTGCTGAGGTCTATTCCTAAGGCCTTCAGGTAAGATCAAGGAAAGGCAGCATATGAACAGACTGATGGGGAATGATGAACTTTTGCACAGGTGCCAGTGGAAGCTTTCATATATTTAGATGAACAGGAGAGGAAGTTTCAGGAGGGAAGATTCTCCAAACTTAAAGGCACCTAGTTTAGATTATAACCCTGCAAAATTACTTTGGAGTTAAAAAGAACAAAGAGGATACGTACTAAATCATTAGCATAATGACAGTATTCTCTTTTTCACAACAACGTATTATTTGGATTAAGTATGACATGTTACATTATCCACAAACTACATGGCAGTCAACCAAGCAAAAGGAAATCCTACTCCTAGTTTGTTCCTCCCCGTTATGCCACCTCCATTCTCAGAACGGGCACCTGGAGAAAACAAAACAGCCAGAGACAAGGCATAGTTGTGGGCTCATACACCAAAATAGGGCATAGTTTAAAGAACCCAAAGTTTCTACACCATGGCTAATGCTTAAAGGCATTCAAGAGAAAATTACACAACCATCTGTTATACTTTGATTTAGATTCCTAGCTTGAGCAGGAGGTTGGACTTGATGGCCTCATAGGCCTCTGCCAATTCCATTATTGTATGACTCCATGACTAAGAAGTGCTTAGCTAGGCCAGGTTCAAGAAGCAACATTTCAGCAAAACAAATGATGGTTGATTATAGGACCTCGATATTTGACAGATCCCACCAAGATCTACCCATATCACTTGTTCGAGTCAGGATATGGGTAGATCTTGGTGTATCGGCAATAAGAGAAATATGCTTGCAGTTTCTATCATTTTTGTTTTGTTTCCCAGGAAAGCCAACTTTAACTATAAACCAAATCTTAGCATCGCGTTCCAAATCTAGTTTGCATTAGGAGAAAACCCTGTAACAGGAACTTCATGTTTTACTGCTTTCAAAATTAGTTCACCAAGCAAATAAACAATTACCACATACCTCCTCAGGAGTGATAACGCCAGTTTCTTTAAACTTTGATTCCTAAAGCAAAAGAAGACAATGAGATACTTGCAAACATTTGAAAACAAAGATCGAAAGATTTTTTTAAAAGATACTATTTTTTCTCTCTCTAGCTCTTCTTTCTGACCAGTGTACAGTTGTGTGACTGTACATGCTCTTCCAGTTTTGGTGTACAACAGCAAAATATAGCTCTACAAAGGAACAAGGAGAGATTACTGAAAAAAGTACGTATCTTCTATCTAAAACAGACCAGCTAGTTTCTCTGAAGAGTTAAACCTGGCACCACTTTTAATCAGTGTCTTAATTGCTTGTATACCAAAAGGCACATTCAACAGAGAACAACTGTGAAATTCCATAACCAGTTAGGAAACTGCTGACATGATGGCTCTCAGAGCTTTTCAACAAGCATTTAAATAAGCCTTCCAAGCTTTCTGAAACTCCCACCCCACCAAATACCCGGTTCCTTGTTTATGTGCAGTTTAACTCAGAAAGAGGGAAGAGTCTTATCTCTAGGACGCTATGAAACTGGAACAACCTAAGCAGCTCTTAAGATACTGTAACAACATTAAATATTAGTAAGGAGGTTTCATGTTGACCACCAGGAACCACAGAATGTGTAACTGACACGAACTCAAAAGGCATCATGTCTCTAAAACAGTATTGCCACAGAAAGACAATATGCAGCAATGGCTACAGCTTCATGTTTGGATGTAGACAAGGATGTGCAAAACCCTTTTAACCAAGAAGTCTTAACAAGGACCATCACTCAAATTTTGTCTACATCACAGCACAATTACAACACTAGATAGGCTTATCTATACTATTCTGAGCTCCCAAGAGGACAGGTAATAAAAGGAACATGAACAGGCCTGCAAATTTGCTGCAGGCACATAAAATATTGAAAAAAGAAAACAAAGATCTATCCAAAACAGGCATTTATTGTTTATTTATTTAAAAATTTTTGTCCCACCTTTCTACTTAAAAGACCCAGGGTACCTTAGATCATTAAAAAGGTGATATTTAAAAGCTAAAAGCAGTAAGTATACAGATATTAAAGCATAATTAAACAAGTATTTTACCAACAACAGTAATTGAAATCAATACTAAAAACACACTGAAAAGCAACAGAGCACAACAACCTGTACAAACCCGTCCCTCTAAAAGCCAGTCACTAAGGGTAAGCCTTCCTGAAGAGAAAGTTTGTTGCCACTTTATTGGATTTCATGCATAAAGACACTGAAAAGGTAATCCTTTAACCTTTAACCACCTGGAGTAGACCTTTGGTCTAGATAGGTGAGATAGAAATCCAATAAATAAATAAATAATCGAAAAATGTCCTGGAAAGCAAGTTTTGTATAATTCTATAAATAGTATGTCATGGCTCTTGAACTGCACTAAGGTGGAATCTGTTTTATCCCACTGAAGATACTGAATTTAAGAGTTCTATAAAAGTTGCTTCATAGATTTGTTCTCGATTAACCTGAACTGCTCATTTATTAATGGGAATGCACAACTTTAATTATGATTGTACATTTTATTAAACACAGCTTATAGTTTAAACAAACAGACTTGATACAGGAACAACTGGAGCACACCCATCATTAAGGATGTCATGCCACATGTGCACTCCAGAGGCTTGTATCTATTTTTTTTTCTCTTCACTATTCTATTTTATGACAAAGTCATGAGATGTCAGGACCATTACAGAGGAAAGGTTCAGAACTACAGAATCTTCAGACTCTGCATCAGCCAGCAGCAGCACTATTTCCACTTGCCTTCCAACCACACTGTTAGCAATTTCTCACACTACCAGCCTCCTTTTTCCTAACCATAGCAATTCAACTTATTCCCCTTGTTTTGTGATACTGGGAATGTTACAGCACTACATACAAAATTACAGCAGTTTGAAATGTCTTTTACTGCAATGGCTCATGGAACTCTAACCCATTGAAATGAGAATTCCAAGCCTCTCATCAAACTATATAATCCGGCCATAAGAATTACAGTGCTATCAAACTTCTTTAACTATGAACCGTAGTGCAAAAACACTTTGGTTCCATTCAGTATCTTATGCTTTAATGTTTAGACTAGGATGAGGGACATTCTAATATTTTACTCTGCCCAGCCATCTGTATTTAAGAATTACAGAGAAGGATTCTTCTGAAGGAAACACCATACAGAGATGATGACATATCTTGGTCGCTAACAGGAACCTGATCTATAAGTTCTGTGCACTAGATCCCAGCACCAAATACTATTCTATGAATTTGCACTACAATTCTTAAATACAGTAATGTGAAACCCTGGCTATAGATTCCAGGAATCTGTATCAAGTTTGTTTGTTGTTGTTTTTTAAATCAAATGTGGGCAGAGACATTTTTAAATGTCTTAGGCATAAGGCACTGATCACAACAGTCTTCTTCCCATCCTCCCTTTGGCTCTCAAATAAAATATCTATTCTATAAGCTTCACACCTCTGCACAGAAGGGTCTTTGCTGCATGCATAAATGTCATGTAGAAGCATCACTTACGCTACTACATTACATGTATATTTATGTCCAGACTGAAATACATAGTGCAAAATTTGAAGAATTTACCTATGCATTTTTTTCTACATACACCTCAAAAGAAAAACTAGAACAGATGGGAAATGTCTCTTCGTTGTAGTTTTATGGAGCCTGGGGACATAATCCACAGAATTCCAAGCATATATGGAGTAAAGTCCATAGAGGCCACCCTGGTCTCCTGCAGCAAACGCCCACGGTTTTTCAGTCTCTTCAAACTCTGGATTGCAACCCTCAGCACTCATTGGAGAATTAGGTTCCAGTGAATTAAGTGGGATTTCCCTTTGAATATCATGTTTAAGCTTGCACTGGGCTAAATGCTGAGACTAGTGCTCCCATTACCTCCAGGCAGCAGGGCTGGCGCTGGCTGGAGATGATCAGACCTGTAGCATCATAGGTCTGGAGAGCATTACACCTCCACAGCCCACCACCACCACCACCCCGCATCCCTTTCTAAGCGTGGATGCCTGACCCCCCCCCCCCCGCTCCGGTGGGGCCCGGGGGCGGGGCCTTACCTTCAGCACCGGCGTCAGGTATTCGGCCACCTCCAGCGCCTTCCCTTTCACCGTGTTGATGACGCTCTGCATCCTGCCGCGCTGCAGGTAGACGGAGGGGAGCGCCCGCCTCGCCGACACCACCAACCAATCCCCCCCCCCGGCAAGCCCAGCTGATCCTCCCTCCCTTGATGCCTTCCTTCCGGGAAACAATTGCAGCCTAATGTTCCCTCTCCCAATACCCACCCACTGCCTACAATGGAGTGGGATCACGTGAGCAACTCCCTTCCCACGTGACCTGACCGGTTCCTTCTGCGGTTGCCGTCGCCTCCTTTTCCCTCCCGAAGGAGCCCCCGGACCCCTGGTCTGAACATGTAGTCTTTGCGCCTGCGCAAAGGAAGGGGACTCGCCCCCCTCGCCTCGACTGGAGAGTATCGGGTAACCATAGAGATAATAATATAGAGTCACGGGCTGGTCGTTATATTTCTTTGGCATCATCGTCGCAATTTTTGTTGGCAGACTGCAGGACTAAAACTAGGGGATTAAAACCGATTTGGTTCTTCACCCTGAAACTTCCAGTGCACACTATGCACGGTGGAAAACTTGACATTTTATAGCTACAATTCCAAAACACGATTAAAGCTTTCCAGAGCAGTTGTCTCAGAAAAGCAACCTGTCTGTCTTCTTGTTACGGTCATCCTTACTTCTTCCCCCATAGAAAACCCCATCGATATGTATAGAGTTTTTTTCTGAAAGCTGGTGGCTCTACACTTTCCTATTTCTATGAGAGTCACGGGATCTTATTCGTAATATAGGCGTCATTCACGCCCCTCGACTTTCTCTCGCTGAGGCCCTGGTCATGGGACTGAGAGAGGCGCCGTCTGCCCTCTTCTGCGCGTGCGTAACCGAATGAGAGGCGGCCCCGAGGCTGCGGGTTATGAGGCGAAAGCGATGCGTGAAGGGGAGAAACTGGACCGTGGCAGGTAACCAGGTTCTTGGGAGACCGGGGTGGGCGAGGAAGAAAAACCCCTCTCCGGCTTCTGTTTTTAAACAGCAGGAACAGAGACAGTTTGATTTGGTGGAATCAAGCTGTTCTAGGAGCAGAATTATTTCCAGTACCAGACCCGAACTGGACTTCCAGTCATATAAAAGCCCACTCCTGGTCACCCTCAACATTTCTTCATTGCAGGAATATAAGGAGGGGAGGGATGTTGATCTGACAAATTTACTGGCAATTAGCTAGAGAGTTTGCAAAAGATCCAAATTATTATTACATACCCTAATTAATAATAATAATAACAATAACAATAATAAAAATAATAAAAATAAAAATAATAATAATGTAAAAAGGGACGTGGTGCCTCGGGTTAAATCGCGGAAGCCTGTGTGATGCAAGGTCAGAAGACCAGCTGTCATAAGATCAAATTCACACAACGTTGCTTCTCCCAGCTCCTGCCAACCCAGCAGTTTGAAAGCATGTAAAAATGTGAGTAGCTAAATAGGGACCACCTCGGTGGGAAGGTAACAGCGCTCCGTGTCTAGTCGTGCTGGCCACGTGACCACAGAAACTGTCTATGGACAAACGCTGGCTCTACGGCTTCGAAACAGGGATGAGCACCGTGCCCTAGAGTCGGACACAACTGGACCAAATGTCAAGGGGAACCTTTACCTTTACTCTAGTAGTAGCTTTATTATTTTAAATATGGGAGTCTTTTCCAGGCCTGCCAGTAGATGCCTGGGTCTGAAGTTGAAACTTTTTTTTATATTGCTTTGGTTTGTTGTTTGTAAAGTATGCATTCTGCTACTGAAGTGCATAAGATCATAAAGTGAGAAATTCATATTTCATCATAATCACAAACCCAACATATTCACAAACTTCATCTTAGCCAAGTTGGAATTCTCTCATCTTCAACTTGCCTGTCAGTGTTATTGACTTGTCTTCTATGCCTTTAATGTGCATCTGATTTATGAACATTAGAAAATGAATTTTTTCCTTGAATAGAGGTGAAATAACAAGTGATGTCATATGTTGGGCATAGGAAAATGGCTGGTACAAAGATATCAAACTTTGTTGTTGCTGCATGCCATGAAGTTGCATGTTGTTGCATGCCTCTGACATATTGTGACCCTATGAATGAGCGGTCTCCAACATGTCCTGCTCAGCTCTTGTAAAATTGGGAAGGTAAACGGCATTCTGTGTCTAGTCATGCTGGCCACATGACTGCAGAGGATTGTCTGATTTGACAAATATAATCAAACACTCACTGTTTTATTTATAAAAAAGTGATAAAGTTTGTTTCACATCTTTTTGTTTTATTGTCTATATTTGTTTTATACAAACAAACCCTGAAAGACCCATCGGAAATACGATTAATCCGTTCTGGCAGAAGGGAAAAAAGAAAAGCAATCATACCATGCAAGACCCTTCAGAAATGGGGGGAAAACACCAAAAAGCAAACAAACCCCTGCAAGACTCATCGGAAATGGGGAAAAAATCCAAAAAGCAAACAAACCCTGCAAGACCCATCATAGCATAGAAACATAATCCAATAGACCTAGCCCAAAACCACGCTGCAAAAATCCACCCAGAACAGTTTTTAAAAAATAGAAAGCAATACCTTACCTTACCAGGCAGTCCAAAGCCACCTCGGATCGCACTCACTCTAACCATTGGGGCAAAAGAGCTACAAAGCAGCAGCCTCTTCACCTACCAACGGTTAGCCATTTGAATTTCCCACCTTTTTTCCCTGCCTTTTTCTGTTCGTAACTGGAAGCTCCAGCCGCAAGTAGGAGCAAAATTTTGCGGCCGGAGATGGTCGTATGTCGGGACGTTCGTAAGTCGAGGCACCACTGTACCTGTGAAAGGCAAATGGTCTAATTCCTTGAAGCTGCTCACTGACAGTTTGTGTCTCTGCTTGGATTTTTGGTGGTGCACCAGCCCAGCAGACTGGCATGCATAGGCAGATCCAAGGGGGGGATTCATTAATTAGCAGTGAGAAGCTGCTGCAGGTCACGTGGTTTGCTCGACCCAGGGGTAATTATGCAACAGGATTTTTGGCCATCATGTTTTGAGGAGGCCTTCAAGAGTGCTTCTGCACTTTACACAGCTTGACATAAAAGGTTTTCCCACTGTTACATGGCCAAATTTTGGCAGTCATTTTGGCATTCATGTGAAGGTCACAGAATCAGGGACAGCAGATATGCATATTGCCATGACAAATGCTGCAATATAAATGGAGAAAAATTCTGAATTTTTCATCAACTGCAAAACAGCAGTTTAAATTGCTGTTGTACAACCTAGGACTCTTATTCCTAAATCATTTCGTCTAGTCATTTAGTCGTGTCCAACTCTCCGTGACCCCATGGACCAGAGCATGCCAGGCCCTCCTATCTTCTACTGCCTCCCGTAGTTGTGTCAAATTCATGTTGGTCGCTTCGATGACACTGTCCAACCATCTCATCCTCTGTCGTCCCCTTCTCCTCTTGCCATCACACTTTCCCAACATCAAGGTCTTTTTCCTAAATACTTCAGATGAAATAAATTAAATTCATCTTGATTGCTTCGATGACACTGTCCAACCATCTCATCCTCTGTCGTCCCCTTCTCCTCTTGCCGTCACACTTTCCCAACATCAAGGTCTTTTTCCTAAATACTTAGGAAAAAGTTTGAAATAACTTTTCAGATGAAATAAATTTTCTGGCTAAGAATAAATATGTGTCAGTACCAAGAAGTGTAAATACTCAATTTTATGTTTAGAATGAAAATGCCTTTCAGCTGTGCTGGCACAGTTTTAATGGTTTTCTTGGTACAGCATTGTATAATTAGAGTCTGAAAACAATTATCTGTGCCTGAGTGAAATGCGCCTTGTAAAACTCTGTCATTTCTGTTGATCAAAGCACCAACAGTTTGTCAAGTACTCTAAGAAGTAATAAAAGGTAAGCTGGTGTTTCCCCTAGAAGAACCTGCCTGATGAGTGTTTTTGCTTTCCTGTTCAAAGGGCACTGACAGCAAGGCAGCAGAATGGATTCTAAGTGTTGTAATCAGTCCACCCGATGGCCCAAGGCAGCTGTGTACACATTCTTACTTGGTGGTACCTTTGTTTCTTTGGGGTCAAGTCGTATCCTTCTGATGAAATACTCTGCCAATGAAGGTATGTTTGAATGTTTAACTCTGTACAGGTACCTTCATTCTTTGTCAGCCTGTAAATATCACCTTCAGGTTCTCTGCCAATCAGGGTGGATAAAAATCAAGGATTCTTTAGAAAAAACAATTTAAATAATGATTATATTTAAAAATGTTTTTTTAAATCATGATTTAAATTAAATCCACCCTGTTTCCAATATGATCAGGTTGTACATAGCCTTAGGTTTTCATTAGAGTTGACTGGGAACCTGTATTCCTTCCCCAAAAGGAATACAGGTTCCCATTTTTTCACTTTGCAGAAAAACAGTTAAAATAAAGCCTGTAGGCCAATAAGCCACATGCAGCTTCCGCAGGTGTTTTTGTGGTACCTGCCATCTCATTGGCTGCTGCTACTTGTACACATGCACTCTCTCCTTCTCTGTCTCTCTTTTTTCTCTGCCTCTCTTCCATTCTTTTCAGAGGTGAAAGCAATGGTCTGCTCTACTGGTCTGCAGGGCTTTTTGGTATGGGAGGGTGTGTTGCCATTCCCTTACATCATAAGCAGCTATCACAGTTTCTGGAGAATAAACATGGATCCAGGTTATATTAAAGAATATCTGGCCCCCATCAAGCTTCCCAACCAGTCCATTTTTTAGAGGAGGTCCTGTTTTTCACACCGTGGCCAACAGGCTTCTGTCTGATAGTGAGACAGGTGGACTTACTTGCAGTGGTGCTAGCTGTGTCAAATGATCTCCCCTTTGTAGGCTGTGTGGCCTCAGTTATTATAATAATAATACTATTAGAACTGCAGAGCCGGAAGGGACTATATGGATCTTCAAGTCCAGTTCCTGTCAGGAAGGCACAGTAGGGTATTGAACGCCCAACCTCTGGCTCTGCAGCCAGATACTTAAACCACTGAGCTATCCATCAGTTCTTTCTGTCACGCTCCAGGCCCTTACCCAAAATGTGTGCTTTACCATGGCTTTTCCTCAGCTATGAGCTGTTTCCCCATATGTGGCACTACTGTGTTTTATTGGGTCCTTTTATTGAGTTATGGTATTATCTTTTATAATCTTTGTTTTCTTTTTTCAGATAACAAGTATGATTACCTTCCGGCAACTGTGAATGTGTGCTCAGAACTAGTTAAGTTTGTGCTATGTCTGGTAATGGCGCTTTGGGTAACCAGGAAAGGTAAGGTGTTGCTGGTAGATCCTTATATGATATTCAACATATCTTCTGTGCTTTTCTCCCCCTATGTGTCAGCATATCTATGTCCAGCATAAATGACTCGTGACTTTCATTGTCATTACTGGTGACGTATGGAAGCTGTATTGATGTAGTGTAACAACATCAGTGGTTTGAATTTTCTCTTGTTTTTTACAAGTACAGTCTGAGGGATCCTAGTAATGGAATATAACAGTTGTAGTTGTTGCCACTTCTCACTGACAGAACATTGTTTTCTTTTATACGTTGTTGGGTGCTGTATGCGTATTTCACAAATTCAGATGATTCGTGCTGCAATAAGGCTGTAGCCACTTATTATTTCCTTTTCCACTATGCATCTAAGATCTCATGGACCACTACTTATCTGTCTGCTATCTAGCCACAGATATTCTTTAAAGCAGTGGATCCCAAATTTGGGTCCCCAGATCTTTTTGGACTGCAGCGCCTAAAAATGGCTACTGGTGAAGGCTTCAGGGAGTTTTCATTCAAGAACTTCTGAGGACCCAAGGTTGGGACCAACTGCTTTAAAGGTTTCATTGTGGCCTTCCTGTGGTATTACATGGGCAGGATTGAGCTACATAAGTTCTGTAATTTTTCTAATGTTTCTTCTCCACCAAAACTTAGGGAGCCCAGCTCATCAAAAATTGTAAAAGTTTATATATAGACGCAAAGTGGCACTAAAAAGCATATGAATGCTTTTTTTGTTCTTCCATGAAGCATTTCATGCATGCTGGTCAGTTCCATTATTTCATCAAATATCAAGGGATTGGCAATTTCTAAGAGTCCTCAATCAAGGAACCATGAAAAGTACAGTAGGATCCCCTTATCAACAGGATCAATATTCACTGATTCATTTATTTGTGGTCTGAAAATATTAAAAATATTAAAAGAAAAAAATCCAGAAAAACTATTTTACATGTATTACCAGAACCGGCCACTAGCACAAGCCAGAGACCTGCTATGAATACTTTAGTGAAGAATACCAGTTCTGGTAATGTATGTGAAACAATTCCCCCCCCCCTCTTTTTTTTCTTTTTAACATGCTGTATATAGTGGGCTTATAATTGGGGATGCCACACATTTTACTTTCTACTCGTAAATGTTTTGAAAGTGTTTTAAACTTTAAATTAGCAGTATTTTAGTTTAATATATTTATCTCTAATTGTTACAAATGTTTTTAAGTTATAGTTACTTTTTTATCATTCTCAAAACCTGCTTTGGGAGAAAGGGGGAATAGAAATGACACAAATAAAGAAGAATAAAGGAAAAACCATGACTTCCTTGGTAAAAGCAGAAGTAGGTCTGAATCCCTTTTAAGCCATTCTTTCCCTTTTGGTTCCTTAATATTTTAAAAACAGTAACAGTAATTTCTCTCTTGCTTCCATGTTATTTTGAATTTGCTTCTTCCTGCCTGGGATTGAAGTAGGTGAGGTTTTTTGTTGGTTTGTTTTGTTTTAAATAAAGTCTTTTAAGATTTGATTGGGATATATTTATTTCTTTTGATTTCTACCACTCAGCTTCACAGAATGATTCAGTGTTCTAGTATGATTAGAAAGGAAGAAAAACCTTTGTTTCTCTACTTTCCCTACAGCATGCATAATTTTATACACTTCTCACCACCTCACCTAACCAGTTGCCAGCTCAATGCATTTACCCTATAAGAAGAAAAAAAAATTAAATTGATTGTAGTGAAGCATGCAAGAACCCAGTGACAATGGCAGTCAGCTTTTAGAAATAATGAACTCAACGGTGTATGTGAAACATCTTTCCAGGTAGAATTTCCTGCCTGAGGTTCCTCAGGAAATTCCCAGATTATCAGTTAATTTTAAATCATAACCCTTGTACCTTGTGTCTTTTTAGAACTAATGGTAATAGTGGTAGTAGTAGCAACTAATAAGAGTATAGATTAAGAAAGGTGTATTTATATGTATACCACTAACCATGACTGTGGTTTTTCCCTCCCTTATATATTCCTTCTTTAGGAGGGCACTCACATAGTGGATTTGGCTGCAGCTCCTGGAGGCAACTGTGTAGCTACATTAAGTGGTCAATTCCTGCCTTCCTTTATTTTCTGGATAACCTTATTGTCTTCTATGTGCTGTCCTATCTTGCACCAGTAAGTAAAACTTCAGGAAAGGAGGATGCTTTCCATCCTCAGGGTTAGAGAATGCCATCCTTAATTTATGATCAGGTGGGGAGACCTTAGATTTGTAGGTGAGGCTTTGCCAGAGCTACCTGTGGATTAGGAGATGGACACAGCAAGGTGCTTTTTGTTTCACCTCAAACTTGTATGCAGGCCATAATAGGTAGAAATTAGTGCCTAGGGAATTCATCTGAGTTTTACATGGAGTAATGGGTTCAGTTCTGGCCCAGTGGTGTGTGCTAACCCAGAACAGTGGTTCCCAAATGTCAGATATTCTTAGGTTACAACTGTTAGAAACTCTGTATTGGCTAAGGTTTCTGGGAGTTGTAGTCCAGGGGTATGAGGGGAGCTGGTGTGGAAACCATTGAACTAAAAGAAAGTTCAAAGGATGTGTTCATGCTTGTGTTTTTTTTTTTTAAATTAAAGGGGATTGTAGCATAAATTTTCTTAACAGCTAAAGAGTCATAGCTGTTGCTCATTCTAAACCAGCCTGAACTCGTGGGGTCAGGAAATTCTCAGGCTTTTTTGCTCTTTTTTTCCTGTTGTGATGGAATTTGGTGATCCTGCTTATAGCAGCCTAGTGATTTATTGAGCTCTATGTGGGGGAAAACTTTGCTTTCTTGCCAGTCATATTACTTCTTTAACAGAAGGGTTTTTCAAAACAGACTTCTAGAGGTCACAAGAGGATCAGCTAAAATTCCTCTCCTTTCTGCTTCTGTTTCTGGCATGTTCTGCTCAGTCAAAGAGTCTTTCCTGAAGAGAAGAACTCGCATTAGACACAACCCCATGAATCTCGTCTTGGGTATTTCAGAGGCTTGGGGAAATAGGGGGGAACAACGTCTGTTTCATCTTTCTTTGTTTCTTTGAAACATATTAATGCCAATTTTAGGCTGTCTCTAGAAATCCAATTTTGTGTAATAAATGCCCATTGTGTCACCTTTTTTAAAAAAATGGCCATGCGGGGAACAATTTATCTCCCCACCCCTCTTTTTCTCTCTTTCCAATGGCTCAAAGACTGATAATTCCAAGACTAATGATTCTTGATTATGTTACCAGGTATGGAGCTAGTTTTCTTGATAGAAGGATATTGATGGATGCCGTATTGCTGGTCTGCTTTTGGTTTATAATTTGATTTCTCACCCCTTTTTTTTTTTTGGTTCTAAGGCCATGGCTGTGCTGTTCTCAAATTTTGTCATCATCACAACAGCGCTCCTATTCCGAATAGTGCTAAAGTGAGTGACTGTGGAAACATGACTTCATCTGGTATTTCTCTGTTTCTTCTGTCCATTTTAAATTTTGCCTTGCTTTTTTGCACTTGTAAACCAGAGTCTATGAGTATTTGACATTAAAAGCAAGTGAAGGGAAAAAGAGTTATAATGTTAGTCTTTATGTGTTAGTAAACTTACAGTGGATGCTGGTAGATGTTGATTTATTTACTTTGCTGGTTGACCATGACTCTAGTCTTAAATAAACAAACTTGGTTAGCAGTTTGTTGAACTGGGAGATGTGCCTCCGAATAAGGGAGAATACAATTTTGCAACTAACTGCATGGACAGATTTGGATGTAGCAGTGATAAGCCCTCTCTTCTGTACCATTTTAAATGCAGTTATCACATTTGCTCAGTTCCTGACAGCGGAGGCTGCTACTCTGTCTGGTGGCTAGAAAGGGTGGTAGAGGCCACAGTTGCCCTCAGCAGAGAAGGAAGTATAAGTGTGTGAAAGCCTAATAAGCCAACGTAAGAGGCCACTCTTCAGTTCAGTTATGTAGATGTCAAATGTTCAGGAGTTGCACTACAGTGCTATTACAAAGGAGGAGGAAGAGAACATCAGACTGAGTTAGGCATAGCTACTGCTGACTTTGGCAACTTTCCTTCTGTCAGCCACTCTACCAATCCCCACAGGAATGAAGCACAATTGATTTCTGGCTTTCACTGACTTGGACTGCAAATCTAGTCTCAGAATCTCAGTCTGTCCTTGTACCGCTTGGTCCATTCCCCCTTTATAGGCTTTGTGAGTTTGTCATATTATTGTAGCCAAGACATAAACAGGCGGTGACAATTCCTGACCCACTCTTATAGGAGCATTTTTCTGATAATTACAAAACAATGTGTGCATAGAATCATATCAAGGTATGTTCCAAACTACAGATTGCTATCCATAGCCTTGAGGACAGTTTATATAGTGTGATCTGTCTTTTGGTTTATGAATTAAAGCAATGGTTCTCAAACTGGGATCCCCAGATGTTCTTGGACTGCAACTCCCAGAAATCCTGACCAGCACAGCTTAGTGGTGAAGGCTTCTAGGAATTGCAGTCCGAGATCATCTGGGGACCCCAGTTTGAGAACCACTGAATTAAAGCACTGAGAGTGTGGTCTTGTGTCCTGCCTGAATTTTGTTCAAGCAACTGCCTTGGCAAAACAGATGGGCTTTTTCAGTATTTGTTGTCTTCTGACTTTGGGCTGTTCCATAGCTGTCTCTGCATGCTGAAAGCAGCTCTCTTCTCTACCCACAGGCGACAGGTCTCCTGGGTGCAATGGGCCTCTCTGCTGATCCTGTTCCTGTCTATTGTAGCCCTGACAGCTGGGACAGGAAGTGACAAGCATAGCTTAGCCATGCATGGCTTTCATCATAACATCTTTTTCAGCCACTCAAACAGCTGCCTCCAGTACACCAAACCAGAGGAGGAGTGCTGGGGGAAGGAGAACTGTACCACCTGGTGGCCCTTCCCTAGTGTCAGCTGGAATGTCACCACTGCCGCAGGAGCCTCTAGAACTGTTCGCCTCGGCCTGGGACACCTGCTCATCCTGGTGCAGTGCTTTATCTCTGCCTTAGCCAACATTTACAACGAAAAGATTTTGAAGGAAGGAGGCCAGTTCAGTGAAAACATCTTTGTGCAGAACACCAAGCTGTACCTCTTTGGAGCTATGTTCAATGGCTTGATGTTGAGTCTGAGCCCAGAAAACCGGCGTCGCATAGAGTATTGCGGCTTCTTCTATGGCCACAATACCTTCTCTGTGGCCCTTATCTTTGTCACTGCCTTCTTGGGACTTTCAGTGGCTTTCATCTTGAAGTTCCGAGACAACATGTTCCATGTCCTGACGGCACAGGTTACGACTGTAATCATCACTACTGTCTCTGTCTTTGTTTTTGACTTCAAGCCTTCCCTGGATTTCTTTTTGGAAGCTCCTGTTGTGCTTTTGTCTATATTCATCTACCATTCCAGCAGCCCTCGATGCGTAGAATATACTGCGCAGTGGGAAAGGAGCAAACCTGGCGGAGGGGCATGGGAGCGCTCTAGCGGGGTAAGGTTTTGAAAAGTCTCCTGCCAAGATCTAGTGCATGAATGAGCAAGTGGGTGCCATTGTTGGGAAATATTCCCACATGCCATCTCACAGAAGGTTTGGTCTCGGCGGTTAAAAATTGGCAACCTCTCCCTGGCAGATGTGTGCCCCTGTTCACCTCGGGTTCTACAAATGGCTTGCTACCTACCTCTTTATTGTAGAAATTTGCTTGCAAAACCAGTTGTGATACAGCATGGTGAGGCTCTTCTGATATGTGTCAGGCTATGTGAAAAATTGCCACAAGTGGTTTCATTCCTCTGTCTTGGAAAATGTGGCTATGCTATAAATTTCTGAAGTGTTCAGCACAGCCACATAGAGCAGCTTTTCTGGGCACAGTTATGGCATAAAAGTACTAATGTCAGCAGGTGCTGTAGCTGCTGTGCCACAGGGGAGGTGAACCTGTTGTCTTAATCAAGGCTACCAAGTCTCCAGTCAGTCCTCCAAAGGCCCCCTGGTTACTCCACTTCTTCCTTGAAGCCTGCTCCATGCACAGGGAAATCATATACAGTGGACCCTCGACTTACAGACGGCTCGACTTACAGACTTTTCGAGTTACAGACTTCTCTGGCTGCAAAATTTAGATTCGACTTGCAGCCAGAGAATCGAATTACAACCCAGAAAAAAACCCAAAATGGAACAAAAATAGAATAAAAACCGCTGGTTATGGGATTAATCGGTTTTCAATGCCTTGTAGGTCAATGGAGATTTGACCTACAGACTTTTCGACTTGCAGCCACCATTCCAATACGGATTAATTGCTTAAGTAGAGGGTCCACTGTATGGGAAGGTTTCCTTAACAGCAATGGAATGAAAGATAAACTTAATCCTGATAGTGCTTGCTGCTGACTAGTTCTTTTCCATGCACGATGTCTCTGTTATGTTCTTGATAGTGAAGTCTTAAGTGCTTATTCATCTATATAGTGTTTCAATTGTCTCAAACAGTGACTCACTTGATCAGGAGGTAACAGACGTTGGAAACCCTGTCTGACATCTTGATAAATCACACAACTGGAAGCCGTATTCCTGTGGTAGTGAATATGAGTTCAGCTGCTGGTTCCAAAAATACAATAATAAGTAGACAAGAACCATTGTGGTGTATTGGATGGAGTGACAGACTAGGACTCAGGAGGTCTGGGTTCAAATCCTTGCTTGGACATAGAAACTCACTGGGAGGTGGCACTTTTAAAGTCACTGCTTAAATGTCTCACATACTTTGAAAGCCCTGTTCAGTTTGCTGTATCAAATATGACTTGATAGCACATAACAACAACAGTTACAGATACACAAAACTGCACTGGATAGGTGGATTTTCATCAGTATATTTTGTCTATTGCATATTTGTATCTATTGGTCTTGTATAGAATATATTGATTTCAGTATATTCAGTATATATGACTACTAGCTAGATTTGTTTCTATTGATTTCTGTAGCTATATGTGTACTTAATTGAACAAAGTATGGCATCTGCTTTTTCTAGCTATTGAATACCAGCAGGCACTGCTGACAATTAAAGTGGTTTAAGTTAACATTTGTGAGCGCATAGATAAACCATTAAAGGTGCTCTGATCACATGAATGTTTTATTCTAGAAGGAAGAGACTGTGCATCCACAAACAGGATCTTAGAATTCTGTTGAGTTCTATTTGCAGGTGCATCTTCCTAAAAGTTGTGCGACTTATGTAATTTTCCCTAGTGAATCTTTTCAGGAGCACAGAAAAGCTTGTTAAGTTTGAGGTTGCCATACTTAACTGTTTCCACTTTTTTCATATTTCTGTCTGATGTCACTGGAGAAAAGTCCATCCTAGTGGAGCAGAGTCTCATGGGGTCAACTTTCCAAGACATGTTGATTAACAAGGGTAATGCATCATCTGCACACAACCTTGGCTTCCCTGTTCCCTCTCTGCAGTCACCTGTAGCGGGCAGGACAGGGAAGGGTATTCTCATCATGTGGTTGTTGCCTGTCTTTTGCAAATTATTTTGGCATGGCTGAGAAGCAATATGCCTATAAGGAGAAATAGTCAAGAAAAGTTATTATTTCATGCCTTGAAATGCATATATGAATTATCCATTAAAATCAGTTTGCCTATTTCCATTCCCTCTTTAACTCCTATATGAATTCTGGTCATCGATCAACAACCCAAATAAAAGGACTTAGCAGGAAAGGTTAAAGACGAACAAAATCCTATTATTGTAAGGCCAATAACAAAAATATGTTCATCTATCAATTGTTGTTACTTCAACAAACTATGATATTTCTGGTGTTCAAAACCTTGTTCTAAATTACTGTATAAATTGAAGTTATTTACCAAACCTGGAGGAATGTTGCCTTTTCATTATTGTCTCTTTTAATTTTCTTTAGGATGGAGAAGAACTTGAGAGACTTAATAAGCCAGACAGTGATCACGATTCGGAGGAGGAGGCCTTATAGGATGGATTGGGATTCTTGAAGTCCAAACATCTCTTGTCAAGAGAATAATGTTTACATTCCAAAAGGTGGAGCTTCTGAACCTTTTCCAGCACATACGGATAGGAGTTTTTTTCCCCATTTTAAATTAAGGTGGGATTTTTATTGTTCTTCATCAAGCTATGCTGGACAGTGTATTAAGTTAGTAACTGATTTAAGAGAGGATTAGTCATGTTAATGGAGGATCGGGATCTATGAGGCTATAGATAACAATATATGATGCTTGTATGATAAAAAAAAGCATACCTTTCAATACTACTGCCTGGGGAATACTTTTGAAACAGTACTCTTGCCCTCATGTCCTGCTTGTGATCTTTCCATCTGCTTGGCCATTGTGGTAGGCCTTTGGTCTGGTCCAGCTGGATTTCTTTTTAGGTACTCAGTCCCATCGAAATGAAGCTTTTCTGTAGCCAGGGAACGACTGGCATAATATGGGATTCAGGACAGTTTGAATGCAGAGATGGACCTGGAAGTATCACACCGAGCTGTCTATGATAAGACTGCTGATTCTATTATAAAGAGATGCAAATGCTACTGATGGTAAAAAAGATACCTCAGCTGAATGCTGATGTGAAGAATAGATCGACTTGTGAAAGCTGACAGAACATTCCCAAAGTACATCCTTCAAACTGTGTATGAATTGTATGCCATAAGCATACATTCACATGGATAAAGCAATGACTTATACTGTACAGTATATTGAAAGTGCTTTATACAGTAAGCATTGCCAAATATGTCTTTGCCACTGTGTGCATATGCTGCAGGAAGCCATTGTCATGGTTTCTGGATGTGAATACCTCTGTGATACCCATAGTAAAAAATATGTATTTATTGTTTGCACGGTTATGTTTTTAAAAATACAAATAAATTGTTTAAATGAAGCAGCTTAAAAATGTTGCATATCACTGCTTTGGATGCAGTCACAGTATATTTACTAAGACCCTTACAAATTCTTCTTGAGAGGGACTGCTGGCATTACATTAAATATTAGTCTTCTGTTTACTTGAGCTTGAATGCCACTACTAGGACATCTTTAGTTTTTCTTATGTAAGACCAAAAGATTTCCTCTCCCCCTTTTATCACAAATTGCAAGACAAATACTTAGGAAAATTATGTACAGAGGTGCATTTTTGTAATGTTTGAATATTGAATCCTGTGCATCTTCTGCTATTTCACTCTGATACTTCTAGCCCAAACACCCTTTCGTTTAAAAAAAAAAGATGATGGGGGAAGAAATACTGTTTGTATCTGTCTTCTAAACATATTGTGAGACCAAATACTTGAAAATATTGTGACAAACACTCCGGTACTGTGACAAAGCTGGGTGCTACTACTAATTGCACAGAAGATCGTACGCATTTTTGTTCTGAGGTTTTGAGAAAGTCCAGTTTCATTGGGCAGCTTTGAGCCTTCTGTGACATGCCTGCAACACTAGGACCTGTCTAAAAAGAACATATTTTTAAACTTTGTGGTTTTATCTGAGCAGTCTTTCTTCAAAAAAGAAGAAGAAGAAGAAGAAGGACTTGCCACTTCAGGTGTAATAGTAATTTCAGAACAAGTATGGTTTGTATTGACAGTAGGCTGCATTGTGCTTTAACTTTTTGTTTATGCGTGGGATTGTCTTGCTAATTGTTGAAGTCTTTTCCAGTGTTTGCTGATGTAACAGAATGTGAAGTCCCTGAGGAAATACGTTATTTAAGTGTGGTTGTTGATGAATTTGACCTGTCTGTCTTCCGGCATGCAGGATTTAACTCATATATGGGACCCCTGTATGTGCTGAGATAGAATTGTTTTGCAGTCCAGGTTAGTATGCCACAAAGTCAAATAAAGTGCCAGGTAAATGGAGCTTGTTTTTTCCCTTCTTGTGTATATAGAGCTGGAAGAGGAGTTGGCTAATTATGTGCTCTCCAATGCTACAAGGAACTGGAAATCTAAAGGCCACTTTGATGATAACTCAAATATCTGTACATGCTGTCCCTAATACAGGAATTTGGACTGCATAGTCATTTGAAGTCACATCAAACTGACTATTCCAGAGGCTGTACACAGACTGCAGGCTTGGATACCATCTCTGTCCCAGGCTTCATATTAATGGCTGAGAAATGTTGCAGGACACGCAAACAAAGGAGCAGTAAAGGCTGTGGCACTTTTCTCAGATGAATATGACCTTGCTTCTCCCTTTGTACTGTAGCCCAAAGGAAGCGAAAATAGTGTAAGATTTGCTGTGGTTCCACCTTGCATATTAATCTGTATTTGTTTTGTTTCACAAATCTAGCTTGTTACCTAAAGATACCATATAAGGATGGCACACATTTTCATCAGAATGCTAATGTAGGAACAGAATAATTTGCAGGGAAAATCCACAAGTGGGAGGAGGCAGTTTAACCCTTCCAGTTTCTTTTATATAAATATTTGCATGGTTGTGGTGTTGGATGATATTTTTATCCTTCTTTACCCCAGAAGACTGAAGGAAACTTCACATCAGGGAAAAAAAGCTTGAGATAGAATTTCTGCAGATATATAGACATGTGAGAAAAGCTAAGCACTTTTCTGTCTTCAAATACTGTAGTTCCCTAGTCCTGCATTTACAAGGACTGGAAAACATATTTAGGAAGCACGTGTTTGCCTATATAACGTGAGTATCAGTCGTGTGACAGGGTGCTGTGCTTTGTTTGGCAGCTCTGGAATGTAATTAAACAGTTATTTGCAAAGGAAGATTCCAGATGCAGCAATGATGATGGTGATGGTGATGATGATGATGTGCAGCAATGATGATGGTGATGATGATGATGATGATCATCATCATCATCATCATCATAGCAGCAGCAGCACCAGCATGCTAAGTAAATTCAGACTTACGGCAACCCTCTTTCAGGGTTTTCCATGTAGGGAATATGCAGGCATTGTCTACCATTCCCTTTTTCTGGGGGCACTCTGGGACTGTGCAGGTTGCCCATGGCTACATAGGGTGGCTTTTCCCTTAAGAGGCACAGCAGGGGAATCAAACTGCCAACCTCTGCCTCCACAGCCAGGTGTCTAAACTGCTGAGCTATCCAGCTTTTTCATTATAATAAATAATTGTCATTATTAAATAGTTTCTTCACAAAATAAGTTACAATATGACTCCTCTCCATGGGATCGGTATAGCTGGTACACTTACCCATTCTGAAAATATTTTAAAAATAAAAATCTCCAAAATATGTATTTTTAATTATGAAGTTACAAAACTGGCTGCTACAGGCAGCCAGAAACAGTGCTATGTATAGCATTCGCTAGAGAAATATACTTCCATGAAGTTACCAGAACTGGCCATGGGAGTGAGCCAGAGACCATGCTATGTGTAACATTTGCTATTATAATAGTGTTCGCTATAATCTGCATTTTTCAGCATGGGGGGCCTTGCAACCAATTCCTCATGAATACAGGGGTCCTACTGTATTTATTTTTCATTATAATAAGTACACTCATTTTGCAAAGCAACACCAACAACACCCAAAGTATTGGAACACGGTCTTCTTTAGTGCAGTAAAATTTTAGTACTTTTCTCAGCATATGGCGTGCATTTTACGGGCAGTGGTCTCCAAACTTTGGCTAACATTAGTACTGCCCTCACTATCATGATGTTTCCAGAAGCATTTGTAAGAAACCCTTAGTTTCAAGTTGCATGTCAGTTAAGGAAGCAAAAGGCAGGGAGACTTAAATTAGAAGATGCATTTACATGAGTGGTGGATTTTATGTAAGATACTCAAGGTTGAATTGGTCTCATTGCAATAGAGGAGCAGACTGCTGTCAGAAGAGGGGTATGTGTCCTCATAACTATTTTCCAGAAGATGGGGCTATACACATTTAGCTATTTCTGGAATGCCTAGGAATCTCAAGACAGACGCACACAGTGAAAAAGTAACCAGGGAAATCACCACAACAGTCACCATTACTTTCTCCTCCTCCACTGTCCCTTCATCCAGTGGTGGAAGAGAAAGAAGGTACTGCCATCATTACTACCATCTGCTGTTGCTCAATGTGGTTGGGTATATGTATTGCGTGTGTGTATGTGAGGCGTGGCCAAGAGCATTAGGAAGGCTGATGTATGATGGTGATGCTTTGCTGCCTTCCACAAAGCAGTGAAGGTTGCTTTGGCTGCCCTGGCCAATTACCTTGTGAGACAGGATTTGCAAGGTGCAGCTAGCTCTTATAGAAACTGAGGGACTGAGTTGCTTTATAGAATAAACAGATATTCATAGTAAGCTCCCTGACAGTTTGTAAGACTATTTGTCCATCTACTCCAGCATTTCTCCAGACAGGCAGGAACCTCTCAAGATCTCCAGCAGAGGTCTTTCGCACCAACTGCTACGTCAAATTATTTTGACCGAAAATGCTAGTCCAGTAATTGTACGTCAGTGTTGCCATGTGCAAAATGGGTGCCTGATTCAAACACATGATGATCCAATGTGATAGCTCTTGGGATGAATTCTGAGAAGACACCAGGCTATAGGAATGTTGCCCCTTTAGGCTATAAAATGTAGATCTGATAATGTGGACCGTGAAGCTTCAAGCCACCTTATTCTCTCACTGACTGCTCTTTTTCTTTCTTTTTGCTTTAATGTATGATTTCTCTGCTTCCGGAAGCAGCTCTGTGAAAGCTCTACTTTTCCTAAAACAGGAAGGTGACTAAGAATCTAAGTAGGGGTTCTCTCTCTTCGGGAAATGCTGTTAGCTTTCCCACAGTCAGTGCCTTCCCTGAGGTGAATGTCTTCCTGCCTATAGAGGGAGAAAAACAACATGTGCAAGAATGAAAAGTCACAGCTAAAATAGCAGCATGATTTGTGCTGAAAATCTTCCATGTATTATCTCAATTTTCCACACTGGTAATTTAAGGGTTAAAATATTAGACTACAGAATAGCATATAATGAAAGTCATTTTAGTCAAAGTATTTTTAGAAACAAATCTTTTAGAACATATTTTTCTAAAAGGATTTGTTTTGTGTTGTGTTCTTTTCTTAAAAGTTACCTTTTAAGGAGTATGTTTTTTCAATAGGATCCACCATTGCGCACCTTCAGAAAAAAATTCACAACTTTCCAATAAATATTGAGGTGAAGAAAAGAGACCTATACAAGTGTTAGTGTCTATTGTACAGTTTATCTCCTGCCTACAGTACGATGTTCATCAATGGAGTGGGAGAAAAGTGTTCTATACATACATAGCACCTGGTAATACCCTCACATTGAAAGGGTTCAAAATACAAAGGCATTTTTATTCCAGAAGGAATCAGCGATATGAGTTTGACCTATTTCACTCCAGGAACCTGTGCATCATAGAGAAGCCAAAGTTCAATACTGTATTTAGTTCAATCCTTTGCCTGAAGGAAAAAACATACAAATTTGATCCATGGCCAAGAACTCCATCTCTGGCCCTTTGTGTTTTGAATGGTTATTAAGATGCAAGCAGGGCACAGTCAAAGTTTAAGTTGCTGATTTCAATAGGGGTATCCATGATGGTAACTTTCATGGTGGCGGTAATCATCCTGGTACCCTTCCTGATACCCCTGGTGATAACCGTGGTATCCGTATCCTGCATATTCATCTTCTGGGCAGCGCATGCCAAGGGACTGCTGAATGGCCATCTCTTGTCGGCGAAGTTGCATGGAGTCAATCAAATCATACACAATCACCATGGACCACATTGGGGAAGGATACCAAGATTTGACATTCCCATCTTTTCCAACCAAGAGCATAGAGAAATATTCAGGACTGATCTGGAAGTAATTGCGGATGTCTTTCACCAGATGAGCTGGGACGTCTTCTCTGTCCACACTGGAGCTCCCTAGAAAAGCATGAAGATTAGCACTGATATTATAATCATCATCTTAGAAACTGCTGAGCTGGAGGAGATCTTATCGATCAAGTCCAGCCCCTGTCAAGGAGGCACAGTGGAGAATTGAACTCCCCACCTCTGGCTCTGGAGCCAGATACCTAAATTACTGCGCTATATCAAGATTTTACTATATAGAGGCAAGCCATTCTGAAATCCTCTTAGTCAGAAGTCTATGTTGTTTATGGAAAGTGCAAGCAAGGTGTCCACCACACATTCAAACATGCTTGGTTTGTGCAAATAGTTATGCACTTGGTCACATGCTAGGGTATACAACAAACAGATACTAAAATTCAAAGACCACTTGCAGGATTATGCTTAGGTGCACAGCATTTTGCAATAGGTCTCTGGCCAGTATAATTAACCACTACTTTCATATTATTGTTCCTGGCAAGTGATGTTTCTCACAGCAAAGTGGAATGATGCTAGGTGTTGAAGGTTGCTTTGATGAGATGCTCTCAGTACACAATGAACCCCTTCCATATAAGCAGCAGAGGTGAGAATATTTTTAAAAGTAATATGCAACCTATTATTTTGATAGTGATGCATTATTAATGTGTTACAGATTTTTTTTAAAAAAAATAGGGCTTAAAATTGCTAAATAGCCAAAAAAAATCCTCAAAACAACAAACCAAAATAGTATTTTGAAGCAACAAGTTAGCATTACCTTTTTCAGTAGCTTAATTATATTGCAAAAGGACCATCAAAAGTAACAAGTTACAAATAATGCCATTATGTAGGCACTGTGCTTTAATTTCTTATGAGAGGCTGGTGTCTACATAGCTATTCTGACTTTGAATACAGCAGCTCTGAATAGTAATCCTGTTCCACAGCTCTGCCAGGATAGTGGGAATGTAATCACTAGCTCCATACCTGCATTCAAAGCATGAACTCTTCAATTAGCAGCGATGTAGCAGCTGTTGGTGGCATCCCAACCACTGGCTGTGGTGGCAGAGCTATGGATCAAGATACTGACTACTGTATTGCAACCGAACCAGCTTAAGGTTTTGATCCAAGAAGTTCTTCCTGCACTTTTCACATTTATTTTACCCCAAATTTTCAGTAATTTGTGTTTCTTTACTTCCTGTATTTTATGTGTTTAATGATTTCTTGGTATCTTTGCTGATCCCTTCTTGATTCAAGAAGTTTTTAGAATTAGAGGAAAGTAAGGATAAAACGTACTTTCCATTTTAAAAAGACAGGGGATGCCACTATGTTCTCATAGGTAAAGGTAAAGGTTCCCCTTGACATTTTTTAGCCCAGTCATATCCGACTCTAGGGGGCGGCGCTCATTCCGCTTTTCAAGCCATAGAGCCAGCGCCTGTCCGAAGACAATTTCCATTGTCACGTGGCCAGTGTGACTAGGGAACGCCATTTTACCTTCCCACCGAGATGTTACGTATTTATCTACTCGCATTTACATGCTTTCGAACTGCTAGGTTGGCGAGGAGCTGGGACAAAGCGACGGGAGCTCACTCTGTTGCGTGGATTCAATCTTATGACTGCTGGTCTTCTGACCCTGCAGCACACAAAGGCTTCTGCGGTTTAGCCCTAAATGACCATTTCCATTTTATACTCTTTGTATGACTTATCTTTTGTGTTATCTGCTTCATTTTATATTCTTTGTATGATTTATCTTTTGTGTTATCTGTTTCGTATTATCTGTTTTAGTTTTCTTCTGATCATAATCCACAGCAGTTATGTCAGGAGGAGGCATAGGGAGAATATGAGAACTGAAAGAGCAATTGTTATGAAAGCTGTATATCCTACTTAGCCTTTTTTCTATTTTTCACCAATGATACATGCATCACTGGCTGACAGCCACTGCGCTACTGAAATACACCAATGGGAAGTTCCAGAATTGACATCTTAGGCAGTATCTACACTATAGGATTCCTCTATGACTCCATGCTGTGGAATCCTGGGATTTGTAGTTTGATTAGTTCCTCTAGCAGAGTTTTCTATTGCTTTCCCCTGAACCAAACTACTGATCCCAGATTCCACAGGACAGAACTGTTACGGTTAAAGTGGAATTAAACTGCTATAGCTGCTACAGTGTAGAGTCTCAAATGGAGCAATTTGAGTATTCCTTGCTCCCATTCTGCATATCTCAGAAGCGCTTGTAATGGATGTATTTGTGCTTCTGGCTTCATTTTACTGTTTATTTTCTTTAGTCTCACCTGTGGCACAGTTTACAGTCACTTTGATAACTGCTGCATTGAAACAAAAAATTGGCAACTCAGGATGACAGAATTGTTAAAGCAGAAGGGGTTCTAAGGGACATCAAGTCCAACCTCCTACAAAAACAGGAAAGCCACAGCTAAAGCCTCCCTGACAAATGGCTATCTAACCTCTGTTAAAAAAATGCAGTGAAGGAGAGTTCACCACCTCCACTGCAGTTCATTTCACTTTTAAAACCAAGTACTGTAAGGCATTTGTCTTCAGTGTGGAAGAGACTGTCACTCTCAAATCGGCCTCCTCAGCCACACTAGACGCTGTTCCAAATCCTCCATACAGAGCACAGTACCATAGTCTTTTGAAACTGAAGGATGCCTAACTAACTGTAAGGCACATCATTGCAATGTTTAAGCTAAATCTCTCCTTTTAGAACCCACCCTCTGGAGCTGTAGAAAACAAGGCTGTTCCATTTCCCACATGATAAACCTTTAAATAATTGGCGATGGCTATGATATCACCTTTCAGCCTTCCTTTCTTCAGGCTAAATGCACCCAACTCTCTCCATTTTTCTTCATAGGCCTTCCCTTCCACGTCTTTCATCATCCATGTCACCCTCCTCTGCACATGTTCCAGTTGGTCTATTCAGGCTGTTTTTCAAAATGCACCCTGACTTAATGAGTCAGAGCACAGCACTGAGCAACACAAAGAAATAACATCTGATTGGTAGTAAACAGCTGGAAAGGATTACTCACCATTGATCGGGTACAGTTCTAGCATTCCACCGATCTCTTCTCCTAGGCCCAACAGTTTGAGGATGGTTATGTGACGCAGACCTGGAAAAAGGAGGGAGTCAGACTCTGGAAAGCTAAAATGCTGCTGCAAGGTTCAAAAGGCAACCCCTATCCTCAGCATTTTGTATACTGTAAAAGTTAACATGACATTTATTTATTTACAAGGGTGAAAGATAAGGCATGTGTAAATATTTTTCATTCAAGCTTTTCACAAAAGCGCAGTGGTTCCCAATCTTGGGTTCCCAAATGTTCTTGGGCTACAACTCAGAAATCCTAGCCAGCACAGCTAGTGTTGAAGGTTTCTGGGAGTTTTAAGTCCAAGAACATCTGGGGGCCCAAGGCTGAGAACCACTGGTTTAGAGAGAAAACTGCTTTCTTATTCTGCTGATACTTTTTGGTAATACAGACTATTTCTTTAGATAAAGGTAAAGGTAAAGGTTCCCCTTGACCATTTTTGTCCAGTCGTGTTCGACCCTAGGGGACGGTGCTCATCCCCGTTTCCAAGCCATAGAGCCAGCATTTTGTCCGAAGACAATCTTCCGTGGTCACATGGCCAGTGCGACTTAGACACGGAACGCTGTTACCTTCCCGCCGAGGTGGTCCCTATTAATCTACTTGCATTTGCATGCTTTCGAACCGCTAGGTTGGCGGGATCTTTAGATAAAGAAATGCAGAAATTCACTGAATTAAGTATGCAATCAAGTGTTCAGCATTTAGGGTCTTCATACACTGCAATCTGCTCTTGGAGCCTGCCATATCAATCCTGCCAGGTTATGTGGGCCCAAATCCAATTGCTAGTCTTAAGTAAAGTAAACCCACTATGTCAATCACTGGCTGAAGTCACAACTACAGTAGGCTCATTTAATCAGTGGAACTTACAGAGGAGTTGCCTCACCAAATCTCCACTGATTCAACGTGCTTGTCTGCAACTTACTACTGGATTTCAGCCACCAAATGATACCTCCCATTGATTCAATGGATCTACTGTAGTTATGACTATCATTTGGATTTAGATAGTCAAGTCTGTGAACCTCCTGATCGCTTGATCAAATAAACACTCTATCCCATCATTGTACATTTTTTCCTGGCATGGAGAATCCCCAAAAGATCTGACTGGTACCTGTTAAAGAAACTTGCACAATTACATCCTTTACATGAAGGGCATAAAATGTTTTTTTAAGCAGTCTTTATAAGTGGGGGGTTGGGACATCCCACAAGATTAAAAGAACTGCTTTCAAAACAGTTTCCAATTGTATAGAATAATTGGTAGCTGCTAAATGCAGAACTAAGAAATAAGTCATTAAAATTAATCTGTTACCTAGTAAATTAAAATTTTCATCTAAGAATTTAATAACCATTACAGTAATAGTTAAACATCAATATTATTAATGATTCCTGTCTCACATTGGTTCAGTTAATTTATAGAAGGAGATAAGGCTGGACATTTTGGGCATTTAAAAAAATCCAAATGATTAACAGGGGGCAGGGGTTGGCTAAGAATAACAAATTTATTTTATGAATTTATCTCAATGTTTAATGCTAAAATACTCATTAGCAATTCAGTATTAAGATGTTCATTTCATGAGAAGAGAAAACTCCCTGGAAAAGCCCCTAATGTTGGGAAAGAGTGAAGGCAAGAGGAGAAAGAGACGACAGAGGACGAGATGGTTGGACAGTGTTATCGGAGCTACCAAACTCTGGGAGGCAATGGAAGACAGGAGGGCCTGGAGTGCTCTGGCCCATGGGGTCACGAAGAGTTGGACATGACTTAATGACTAAACAACAACAATTTAGATGTTAGTGCTAACATTTCCAAGGTCCTACTTAATGGCCAAGTATGGATAAGGATGGTGATGATGGTGATGATGATGATTTTACAAGAACAGTCATGGCTCAAAAGCAATAGAATGGTGATTACCTACTTACCAAAATTACAAGCTTGCCCTGTGAGAGCTGCAAGCTGCTGTGAATAGGCCCAGTCTTCATCATTGGGAGCAGATATGACTAGTAGTCTTCTCCTCCATCGAAATCTGGAATGAACAAGAGAAAAGGGTAAGAGAAGTCATTCCAAAGTGGCAGGATAGTACCATCTATGAGTAGGCCATAAATTATTGTGTTGGAGAAATTCTAGTACAAAAAAGATGAGGCAAGAAGGGAGACTTCAAAGCCCCTGAAAGAAAAAGAAAAGCAAACTAAAATTTTGGATCCAGGTGACCTTGTTGTAAGTTAAATATTTAGACATTATTTTTAAAAAAGAGTACAGCAATTTCCATAGTTTGCACATCCTTAACATATGTACATTTCTGTTATAATTGTTCTCAGAACTGCACTAAACATTTGGTTCAGTTCACTGAATTATAAGAAATACAGTACTGTACACTGAATTGAGTACTATTGGTTCTAGTGAGTCTCAGATGTACTGTAAGTGCTTTGATTTAAGCAAGTTGATGATCAGGAAGACTATGAACGCAAGGATGCAACAGTTTACAAAAGCCTATGAAATACCATTTTAGGTTTCAGGTTATCTTGTCTTGCTGTTAAAAAAACCACATTTCTCTAGAAAGGTGGAACTAATACAAATGCAATATCCTTTTTTTGTTTGAGTCCCCCCCCCCATCTAGAAATCATCTTGTGTTTGACTGACTTAGGAAAGTTGGTGGGTAGGTTGACACAGTCATAGTAATGAGATTAGAAAGTCTAAACGAACAGTTATTATATGGTGTCAAAACAATATTGTACTCTCACAAAAAAACCTAACTAGGTTTAGAGGAATGTATAAGAATGCTTTTGTAGCAGGAAATTGTCTCTTAAATAGCTATAGATGTTGCAGTCCTACAGACAGCACTTTGACTCTTATTGGCATGTTGGCCTTTTGTTTGCTTGTTTGTTTGATTGATTGACTGACTGATTCACTGATTGATGTACCGTCCTATTCTAAATATTTTCTGTTATGTCCCTTCCCTCAAAAGCAGAGGTTGATATTTTCAGTGCTCTTTTTGTATCTTATTGCTCAGGGGCTAGTTTATTTTTATCCTTTTATCTCTTTTGGAAATTATGTTTGTGCCATACTCACTTCTATTGCCCTACATTCCCTGCCTGCCCCCCAATCCACATATGTATATCTGCCTGTTCAGGTGACATTCCAGGCATCTGATTGGCTTCAGTCCAGGAAAGCTTATGCCAAGTAAAACATATTAGCCTTCAAGGTTCCACAAGATTCTTTGTTGTTCTAACTACAAATGCCAGCAACATGTGGAATACTGCTGTGTAGGGCTATTAGAAAATACTATTCAGATGGCAATAACTATGGTGGGCTGGGAAGTGTTGTTCATTACAATCCATAAGGTAGCTGTTGGTGAAGGTTCTGGATAAGACTGAGAGCTTACATCCCTCTTTTTGTATCCCTATCAAATTTTAAAATCTCGTGGTTTATGATAAAGTGAAAGCACAAAGAGCTGAAATCCAAGGAAAGGCTGCATTTAGTGAAATCTGTTTAAATGGAGTCTATCTAGCAGGCTGCTTCTACATACTTAGGTCCAGAGGGCTTCTTGACATCATTGCCTTTGCTGGGACTTCACATACAAATTAAGAACAATCAACATCAATTTTGGGATGCTGTGCCCCAAGAGAGAATTGTTGAGAAATGTTATTACTTCCTGCTGTTTCCATTCAAAGGGAGAGGCAATTACAGAAAAAATAAACAACACTGCTAGAGCTGAGGTAGCAGGGAAATTGCTGAACTATAAATAATTTCATAGTGTCCATTTTGCACATGGGCTAGTAATGATGTGGTGGAAATAATAGTAGTGATATTTATTTTTAATATATAATACGTATGTTTGGTGCCATTATTTTTAATTTTAGATGTTGCTTTTATGCACTTTTTTCACTCTATACTATAATTTAAAAATTCCAAAGACAAGCAATACCATGTTCTTCCTGTTCTCAGAAACACAGGCTCTTTATTGTCTAGGGCAAACTTCTGTTTCCCAATTAAGACCCTTCATAAGACTAGAGACCGACAAATCTGTCAAATTCTATTTTGCTCAGTTTTTCCAACCTTAAACTCACATCATCCTATTTCTGCATGAATTGGAGAATTCTTACGTTTGCACAGAAATGCATGTGGATTTTGTATGCACTTCTCCTAATAAGCGTGATATTGCAAGCAAATACACTCATACACAATCCCGTTTTGCATTGTATGTTCATTTCTCTTTCATGTCATATACATTTCTGTACACAGTTTTGAAAGCAGCCCTGGAGAAATAAAAATATTAAAATATAAATACATTTTGATTTGCATAGTAGTTTGGGAAGTGCAAGTTAGATAAGTTAACTTTAAAAGGCAAAACGAAATAAACTCTCACCCATCCCTACCCAAGACAAGAACCCAAAAAAAAAAGACAATGTATCAAGATACAAATAATTTCTCCCCATACTGCAAGTAGAAAAGCCCCACTTGATCTTCTTCAATGAAGGTCCGCCAGTGACAGTACTTGGGAAGCATTCAGTTCCAGGTATCAAAGTTACGTTGATGGAAGGCATTCTGTCCTCTTGTGTCTTAGCAGAGAAGGGGATGAAACCACCATCTATATCAGATTCCTATATCTATATCTATATCCTCTCTGGAAACCTTTGAACTTTAAAGCTGCATCTCGTGAACGTTCCTCTTCTAAGCAACTACTCAGTGTACAGCAACTCTGTCCTCTCTTTCATCCAGTCATCTAGTCCCTGCTCCTGCCTCAGCAGGAAACCTGCCACAAAGTTTAAGAGTCATTGACCAATGGACCATTTGATCATCCCATCTCCTGTTTGTATACATTGTATCCTGAAACTTTAATTTCTGAACTGCTTCCACTAAAATCATAGTATATTTTCTGTTGCATAACATGGTCTGTTCCTTACCAGCATATAAAGAGCCCCCAGTGCTAGTCTCATGGGAAGGGAAGGGCTTGGCATATGCAGGCATGCCCCCAAGAATGATGATGAGGACTATTTATTTAGTGGCAAGGAATGGTGGGGAATGGGCCAAAGCTTATGATATTGCTTGTGTTGTGCAAGAGGATCCCAGTCGTGATGGGGAAGTTGCCGGGTTTGCTAAATGCATAAGGGCTGCTTCAAGTATGCCACCAGCAAACCAGTGATGGATGTAGGGTTATCAAATAATCTGTAATACATTCCTTCAGATTCAGGCCAAAAATCTGAGACTGGGCAGTGGGCCTTTTATGTCACAGGGTCAGGATCAATCCAGTTAGCCAGGTAATATAGGAGGCCAGAATAAGGAGCCCCCCCCCCAAAAAGGTGGGTGGCTGAGCAGGTGGTAAAATACTGGAGCAGTTGCCACCATTCCCACTAACAATCACATTTTATACAGCCTGCCCTGCAGCACACAGGGGGACTTTTTCTAGGCCCTACACTGCTGTCTGAGCATGTGGAAGTTTTATTACCAGCCTATGTAGAGTTTTAATTCTAGGTCTGGTAGCACTGTTGTTTCTGAAACAAGAAGGCTCACAAACCGTGTCGCTTTTTACTCCTTGCCTTGTTCCAAATGGCACATTGGGCCCTATCACATATACCTACTGCCTTAATTCTGAATTAATTTTAGCTCAGCTATGAGCCAGGCAGACAATAAAACTAAAAAGAAAATGAATAATTTCAAACAACCTCAGATTAGAGCCCACAATTGAGAAACATATCTAATGCACATTCTACAGCCCACCTACATTAATCTGGAAGTCCGGGGCCCATCCAGACTGGCTGTTGTAGTGCATCAGGCTAGAAGGGATTGGCTGAGGTCGGGGAGAGGAGTGATATACTATTTAGCATGTTCCTATTGTCCTAATTGGCATATCAACCTTTGTTTCAATTAAATGCTTCCTCTGGTCATCTGCAGAGGGTCAGAGAAGTGATTTTTTAAAAAAACATCTGGATTGTCACTAATGTGATGAATCACTTCAGTTAATTAAAAAAAATTTAACTGTCTCTGTACTATCCATTGAGAAACTACCTGCAAAGGGGGGTAATTAAAAATTTAATCGAAGCGATTTGTTGGATCGCCAACAAACAAACAAACATTTCACTTCCGCTCACTCTCCACAGACGATCAGGGGAAGTGTTCCAAGTGACCATACTCACTGGGTATGGACTTAATTGTAGCCTTCCAACCCATACCAAAATAGTAGAACCCTCTGACAGGGATTCAAAAAAGTGTGGGTTGTGGCAAATCCTGTGATGTCCATGTGTGGATGCCAGAAAAAAGAGCAGACCAACCCAGCCCATCAGCACACCAAACAGTGAAACAAATGCCTCTGTGGATAGACTTTAGGAGTAAGAGAAAGAGTTTTTGGTCCGACAGTCAGACTCCTGAATGTGCTTGCCTTTGGCTACCTCTTTTTAAGAATTTATTGAAGTTGTTATATTTTGATTTGCATATTAGTTTGGGAAGTTCAAGATGCATATTAAAAAGGAGAATTTTTAAAACTAAAATAAACATCTACAAGTGAACACTTGACTCAAGAAAGGCTACATTTTTTAGTACTTACATCATTACATTAAAAAAAAAAAAGACAGCGAGCTCTGGCATAGTTTAAGAGAAGGGGAAATACCTGGATAGAAAGTTTTCCAGAGACTGTTTCTTGTCATCTTTGCAGACAATACCTTCACGTTTCTGTTTTTCCATATCTTTGATACGTGACTGGAAGGTGTCAATCAAATCAAATACTGACTTCATTGTTATGGGCACTTCATAGTATTGCTTAAAAAGAAATGGTGAGATGGGAATTAATTGCAAGCAAATCTCTCAGTAACGACCACTCCTGGTGCAACTTACTGATAAAGCTTCATGCTTAGCAGCATATTACACTTTATTGATTCCAGAACATGGTGTGACTCCCGAAACATGTGCTGGAGACACATGTCTGCAGTTAAGCAGGTCTGTGTATGTCCAGTATCTGGGTGAGAGATTACAGAGAACTCTCCAAAAAAACGTCCTGTGAACTTGAATTATGCCAATTTGAGTTCCATGATCAAACAAGGATATAGATGTCATGAATAAATCTATGTGTATGGTGCTGAAAAAGGCATCAGAAGAAGAGAACATCTGGAAAGTCTTCAACCACTTCACAGAATTCTGTAGTGTAAGGGAATGCCCAACCAGTAAGCATGCCATCCTTGAGTATAAATATTTCCCACCTTAGAAATGGGAAACAAATCACATTATTCTCATTTTTGTAAGTCCTCTTGCCTCGGCATGCCATCCTTGAGTATAAATATTTCTCACCTTAGAAGTGGGAAACAAATCACATTACAGTATTCTCATTTTTGTAAGTCCTCTTGCCTCCTCAAGTACTAGCACAATTGTATTTAGTTAGTTTTCCCTTCAGTCCATCCTGAGCAATAATAACTCATGCATCTAATCCTCTATCTACAGCATGTTAGAGAAATGTTTCGGCCTTCAGTTCCCAGAAATTCCTATAAACATGGCTAATAGTAAAGGGGTTTCAGTTCAAAATTATCTTGAAAATAAAGGTTCCCCATCCCGATCTATATTTTAATTCTTTATTCCAATAATATTGTTAATAGGTTTATTTCTACCTTGGCTCTCATATCGGTGTCTGTCAGCACCATGAAGAAATCATTGTAAGTCATTCCATACTCTCTCCTCAGTTCATTGATGAGATGTTGGTCCACAAGGTCTTCATCTTGTATCCCCTTCATGGGCTTCTCATTTTCTTCAAATAAAAATGAAATGGGGATTTAAAAGGGAGGAATGGATAAAAGGATAGTTCAAACCAATAAAACAATTCCCCTCTTCAGATGTATCCACAGAGAGTTTCACAAGTCTGAAAGAGGAATGTTGTAAAATTGTACCTTCAGAAGTAAGTGTGTGGTGTCATTATTTGGGTCTACTAACGGGAATGTCTAAAACCTAACAGATATCCATGTGGCGTAATGGATACAGTGATGGACTAAGACTGAGGAGTCCTGGTCTGGAACCTCAAATCAGCCATGGAAATTCATGGAGGGGGGAGGGTTGGTTGGACCAGTAAAATCAGACTTTAAATATCTCAGCTACCTTGAATGCCCTATTAAGCTTGCTGTAAATCAACTGCTTTGAGACAAAGCAGTCACCTTGTCCTGACTCTGGAATATCTCCTTATTGCTTCTGTCACTGTTCAGAATGCCCCTTTCCCCTCTCCCATGGGGACCGTGCCTTATGTCAGTGCAAAACTGACATGCAGTAAAGCCACATAGCCCAACAGTGCATGATGTTTTCCTCCTCCCTTAAGGCTTCAGTTTCAGAACTTTAAAGGATTATTTACACCCTGTGTAACAGTAAGAACTTAATATGTTCTGCAAGATTTCTGTGAGGTGTGCAAATTAATAGCACAAGTTAAAACCAAGAAGAGCAGTTCAAAAAGCCAACTAAAAATGGTATTTGAGAAGACGAGAGAGACAGGGTGGTGCAGGAGAGAATGTGCTAAATTCCAAAGTCTATTTAAAACTCTTGCTGTTCCCTAACTAATCTTGGTATTTGTACACTTTAAGTTAATCTGGGTCACATATGTGTATTTATGCTTTTGCTCATGAATAGGATTTCAATAAACTGTTTATCCTAATGAAGAGCCTTCATTATTCACTCCTGCTCATAGGCTCCCAGCCTTGGAAAAGCAAAATGGAAAAAGAACTCTAGTGGTGTAACAGCAAAAAGGAACATCCACAGAGGGGCCCAGAACAACTGCTTGAAAATGTTGGCACATGAGTATATTTCACAACAAAGAAGAGAGGCCATATCTGTGTCGTTTAACCCTGAAAATACTGAATCTTTAAAAGCCTTGTAACACTGGCCATTTGTATCCAAGGAACACAACCACATTATATAATCCTATGTAAACCACACAATTTAAAGATCAGATTTCCCCAGATGTGTGTCTTCTAGCAATAGTGTAGTGAAACCAGGACTTGCAGGGTCCAAACACCAGTACATCTAGGTTGTTACAGATAAAAACACTGATGTTTCGGCAGGCCTTCTCCTCAACCAATTCCTGATTTTCCCTCTTTTTTCCTCTCTCCTAGTGTCTGTTCCATCTTGTCCAAAGTTTGTCCCCTTTTTAAAATTGTTTTAATTATATTGTATCACGCTTGTTGTAAGCCGCCTAGAGTCGTCTTAAGTGACTAGATAGGCGGGATATAAATAAAATAAATAAAATAATAAATAAATAAATAATGACATCATCTTTTACTTTCCCTAAGTTTGCCTGCCTCCTCTGAATTTAATTGCAATCGTCACAGTTGCTTGTGAGAAGATCAGTTTTCCCAGCAACAATATTTTGTTATGAACTATCCTTGTGTTTCTGAAATATCCTCAGCTTTTTGACCCCTTCTCTCCTTGGTTTTCATCACTTGTGCTATTAATTTGTACGCCATTTAGAAATCTTGCAAAAGAGATTTAACTCTTGCAATCATAAGGTTTCTGGCGTGTGTGTGGTTTGGACTCAAACGGGCAGTTAAAATTCATAAGCTGCTGCTAGCAGAGATGGGGAAAAAAACTGCTAAATCTAGTTTGCTAATGCAGATCAATGCAATTTCCTGCATTTTTGGACCATTGACCCCAAGCCTCGACATTTGCCCCTCTGCTCCACTGCCCTCTTGGATGACAACTCTAATTGCCCTTGGCCAATTTGAGCAGCACCAAAATAGAAGACAAAAGATTATAATGTTTAACCATATATCCAGTAATTTATGCATAGAGATGTACAACTAATTAAAAAACAACAACAGATTGGCACTACCCCTCAGCCAAGAGGGGAAGACTGTGACCAGGTTGCTCTCTATGCTTTCTGATTTTGCTGGTGGATGAGAAACTTCAAAATCCCTGATCTCCTTCCTTATGGTTTATGATCTTTACATCAGATTTGGACTCTGATTTGGATTCTGAAAAGTACCTTCAGCAAGGGGACTGTCCTTTAACAGCCCTCCAAATAGAGAAATGCCTTCTATAAAAGAAGATATGTGGCTACCCTTGTTGAGGGTGGACATGAAGAAGGTGTCACTCAGCATGCTCCAATGTGCTTTGCCACTTCAAGTGAGTAGCATGCAAATGGGGCTAGATCTTGTTGCAGACATTTTCAGCTAAGAATCAAATTCTCGTCTGATTCTTGCTGTCATCTAAGACAGTCACACTTCTCTGCTTAATGTTTTTTTCCTTGTCTTCACAAGATGGCTGAGAAGTACTCCATGAATCTGTGTTACCTTGGAAAAAATAAAGAAAAAACAGGCCTAGGCCAATGATGCAAATATAAACAGAGAAAAAGAAGCCTATTATGATGGCATGGGGACTTTCTCAAGTGTTGGTAACCCTAGTTTCACAGTTCCTTATCCACCTAAACGTTAAATTAAAAAAACAACAACAAATATCCACCTAGCTGGAAGTGGTCAATCTTCATGCGGCTGTTGTTCATGGTGCCAAAGATGGTGATGACTGAAATTTTTCTTGTTGCCATTTTGCAAAAACTCTCCAGATACTCATCTCGCTGCTGCACGTACATGGTGTTGTCAGCCTTGGGTGTTGTGATCACCTAATAAGGCGGCAGAGAAAATATTTGTACTTTGAATAAATGATTAACAATTAATCAGATATTATAATCACATTTGCAACTGGTATTTGGGAAAATTTACTTTTTGGGAATACTACTCCCAGAATATCCCAGACAGGATGAATATTCATGGGGGGTTCTGGAAATCACAATCTAAACTCTTCCCTTTTCTGCATATAAGTGGTCACGGGTTTTTATTTCCCATAGAGCAGCAAAGGAAAGTTTTTACTTCTTAGTCAGATGTGACCCGATCAGATGGCAGTGCACTCCCGAAAACGTGGCTATGAGTGAGAGTCTGCCCAGGGATAGTGATTCTGAGAGGTCTGTTCATTTATCATTCCTAAAGCAATAACAACATGGTCAAACAGAGGTCAGTCTGCAACAGCACAGAGCATGGAAATTACAAATTTATATATCCATATATGTACAGTATCCATATCTGTCCATATATATGGACAGATAAACAACAGGACAACAGGAGTAAGCAAGATTAAGTGATTCTAGCAGCAGCAGCCTAGAAAATCCAAGCCAGAGTTTGGAAAAGTTCAAGTTTTGTTTTGAACTGCAACAGCCAGAATCCCACAGGTAGCGAAGTGATACCATATGTAAAGATTTCAGAAAGATTAGCCCAATCTGGCTCCAAACCTCTTTTTTGGGCGAGAGACTTATGACTAACCCAAAACTTTAGGAGTTGTTTGCTCTTGCTGTCTACCACACACAGATTTAGCTCCAGTCTGTGTTGCTTTTACAGACATAGGTTTGGTCTAAATGGGATGTTAGTCTTGGGGGTCCATATACAGATGTTGATTCCCCAGTAGATAGCTTGGTGCTTTTAAATAAATCAGAAGCTTTTGCATTTCTACTGGTGCATCACACACACATATGCAAATATACGAGTGAAGTGAAGAGCTTAAGATGAACAAAACAATGTTGGAAAATTTGAGTCAGCAAAACATTGCAATTCTCTTTTGGCTTCTACTTGCAAAGATTATCCAGCTGCACAGGGTAAGTCAAAGACAAACCTCAGGACCAAAATACATGTAACAATGACAAACATAATCAGACATAGCTAGCTCATTTTAGAAAGTTTGGAGCTTTGTTGGGATAGAACTGGGTGGAGGAAGCTGGGAGTTCAACAAACTAACTCTTCCAAAGTCTGAGCAAAATGCAACCTCTGCAATCCTAATGTGTATCAGACCTACAGTGGCACTAGTAGGAGGAGCAATATTTTTCTCTATCTCAGTACTGGTTTCCCAATCCATCTCCTGGAGTCTCCTGTACCAGCTGTTTGTTCTGTTTTTCATGTATGTCTTACTCTTTTAAAAATTATGGGAGATTTGACCATGGGTCTCCTACCATTTCATCTAGAGATGCTTCCTCCTAAAAGATTCCAGCCTCACAAACGCCATCTTCTAAATACATAGGACATAATCCTATTGCCATTTATACATTCATAAGGCAAACTGTTAAATCTTAGCTGCAAACTGCTGTTCAGAAACAAGGTGGTGGCTGCTTCCCTGAGCGTGCACCTGATTGTGTGCACCACTAGGAACACAACCAGCACCTCATTCTGATTTTCCTTCCACAAGAGTAATCAGCAGTGGAATTCTTACCATAGATTTAAAATAAAGTATAATTGTTTCCAAAAGTGCATTTTGTTGTTGCTTTAATTATCACAGAAGTTTTAGAAAGTATTATATATACAGCCTGGTTGAATCCTGTAGAGCAATGGTCCCCAACCTTGAGCCTCCAGATGTTCTTGGACTTCAACTCCCAGAAATCCTGGCCAGCAGAGGCGGTGGTGAAGGCTTCTGAGAGCTGTAGTCCAAGAACATCTGGAGACCCAAGGTTGGGGACCACTGCTGTAGAGGTATTGATGAAAGGCTAGCCTTGAGATTCCATACTATACTCCCAAACCACAGAACACAAAACGAAACCAAAGTAACTGTTGAAACTGATGGACCCGAAGCAAAACCACAGAGACAAACATCTGCAAACCCTATTTGCAATTGTTCATACCATGAAAAAAAAGTATATTCTGGCAATGTGTATAAATCATGCTGCTGTTTAAGCATGCCAAGTCAGCGTTTCACCCCAGTCTTCCTTCAACTACTCTTAAATTGATCAATTCTTTCCACTCTAGAAACTAACTTTTCTAAATGTTGGGATTTCAAACTAGAATTCCAAACCAGACTTCTGCCTTCTCTGCAACATGTGACTGAAATGTCACAAGAAATAAAGTTGTCTGTAAACTGGCTTGTAGGCGTGTGGATGTAGAAATGGGATCTACCACTTACTTCCCTACCAGAGATTTTGCAACTTTGTCAAATTGATGAAAAGTAGAAATTCAACAGTTGAGAACATGTTGATCTTCAAGAAGGATGCTAACAAATTGGAACAAGTTCAGAGAAGGGTGACAAGGATGATCAGGGGGTTGGAAACCAAGACTTATGAGGAAACATTGAAAGAACTGGGTACGTTTAGCCTTGAGAACAGAAGACTGAGGGATGATATGATAGCACTTTTCAAATTTTTGAAAGGCTTTCATACAGAGGAGGGGCAGGATCTGTTCTCAGTCATCCCAGAGTGCAGGACACGCAACAATGGGCTCAAGTTAAAGGAAGCCAGATTTCAGTTTAGTAGCAGGAAAAACTTCCTGTTAGAGCAGTTTGACAGTGGAACCAGTTACCCCAGGAGTTGGTGAGTGCTCCAACACTGGAGGCATTCAAGGAAAACTTAGATAATCACCTGGCAGATATGCTTTGATTGTATTCCTGCATTGAGCAGGGTCTTTGACTTGATGGCCTTGTAGGCCCCTTCCAACTGCATTTTTCTATGATTCTATATCTCATCTAGTTATAATGTCTGCACAGGCTGTTTTTTACATGCTCATGTGTCTGAACTCATGTGTCTGAACTTCTTTCTTTCTTTTTCTGAGTAGAGATGCTTAGGACTGCGCTATCAGGTTGAAATCCTCTGCACATTCGCCTAGATGTGGACTCTGTAGAACACAACAGAACTTATTTCTAACCCCAGAATGTATGAGAATCCTGAGTATCCAGGATGCCATTATATAAAAATAAATTAGGAAGGCTTTTTTCCAGACAATGTGGGACACACATTATACTGCATGGTTTCCTAACACTTGCATTTAGTGGCAAAACAAATACTTGTTCACTGAAGAACAACGAAGTGGATGCATGGAAATTACTTCTGTGTAGTGAAAAAATGTAAACAGTGAAATAGTCTACACTGTCATAAGACACCTTCGTGTTGAATACCAGCAGCCAAGGAAAACAACAGAACATACTGCTTTTTAACTTTTCAGAGCAATTTTGGAGATGAGCTGGCTAATATGCATGCAGTTATTAATTTTGAGGGATGCAAAGCCAACTTATGCTGTTTTTAAACCTTACAATTTCAGCACAGTGCCACACTATTCTAGATTAAAGAAAAGCAGCTCTGAGAATCTTACTGACAACACACTAAGGAACATATTCGCAGATATACATGTTTATGTCCAGGAACGATGCCAGAAGCAGTTGGCCTGATTCCAAAATCCAGACGTTGTCAGCATCACTGAGAACAGATGTCATTGAGAAGACCTGGGAGTTCCAATTAATACAACAGGGCAACCACAACCATGATCTATAATTCTATGCACACACCTCCTCTTTTGCTATTGCATCAGTCAGTTCCCATCACATCTCAACTTGATTTCATGTTTAAACAACCTCAGTGAGGACAACAGTATAGCAGCACTTTGTACCACCAACTAATTACACTATACAGTAGTTGATATTCTCAGGTTGGACATCTGCTCTATAACATACTTAGAATTACAGTTAACTCAGGTCTAAGTAGGTAAGTGAGAAAAAGCATATATAAAGTCTGTGCTGATATAGAACTCAAGGCATCTCTAAGACGAAAGGTAGAACATAATAATAGTCTCTTAAGTGAAGTGAATAATGATGGCTATAGTTGCACTTGCTTTCACATGACAGCAATCAGGTGAAGATAAAGACAAAAGAGTTAACTTTGAGGTGAAGCAGCCACCAAAGATTTATAAGAAGCTAGAATCATGCAGCAAGTACCTCTTTTGACTGATAGAATTGGAGAAAGCGATTTCTAAATACAGTATATGGCCTTACTAGGAAGTTATTGCAAACAAACCCTAAGCAATACTTATAGATAATTTACTCACCAGAAGTCGTCTTTTGCCTTCAAAAAAATCCAGAAGGTTTGTCACCGATTTCATGGAGGGCTGTGCATAAGGTTTGGCATTGGGTTTCAACATCCCCTCGTTCTCTGTTTTGCTTGCTTTCTTGTTTTTCTTGTTACGCTCTTTTTCTTGCTTGTTTTTCTTGTCAGCTTTATCCTTCTTGGACTGCTTCTCGTTTTTCTTGTCAACCCTTACCTTCTTCTTCTTTTCTGACTTATCTAAGTGGTCATGTTTCTTTGGATCTTTTCCTTTCTTTGGTGGGATACTTCCCAGTGGAACACCTTCCTCTAAACGAGGAACAGCAGGCTGCCCTGAGTCATATTTATCCTCGTATTCATTGCTCAGTATTTTGTCTTGGGCTTTCCTCTTAGGGGGCTTGCTTTTAGCAGGCTTGTTGAGTTGACCTGATGTGACACTAGGATCCCTCCTGTGAGAATCCTTCCTGTCTGTGCGGTTGTCTCTGTATTTGCCAGCACTTGCCCTTGTGTAGTGTTCTGATGTGGTTGTTGGACTCTCTGTGTAGGTGTCATAATGAATTGCTTTGCTGGGTCTTCTAGTAGCAGTTGGCTTTCTTTGCGTGTGGCCCGGATACCTTTCTCTGCGGTTCTCTTTCCATACAGAAGAGGATAAATTCTCTGTTACCCGGGTGGTGGTTGTTTCAGGCATCGTGGGAAGCAATGTGTGTGATTTTGTGGTCCATATCCTCTGTGTAACAGGAATAGTTGCAGTGGTTGCAGGTCTGCTTGCTGCTGTCACTGTTCTGGTGACTGGCCTGGAAGTTGTGGTTGTGGGAAGGAAAGTAGTATGTCTGGTTGTAGGGGCAGGAGGAGAAGGCCCTGGAGTTGCTAAACCTTTTTTCACAGTTTTAGTCCTTGTTGGTTGATTTCTGCCCTTTCTTGTCTCTTCTTTCCTAGGCAACGTCTGGACATAGCCACCACTTGGTGTTGTTCTAGTGCTACTGCCACCATTGTTGCCTTCTTCCACAACCTGGCCCTCTACTCCAGCTGCCTTGCACTTCTGGATGAATCCCTTTTGCCTTATTTTTTCGATTTTCCTAATGGGGCTCTGATCAATGACTTCATATATAGCCTCTAGCCTTACTGGATAGGGGTATGTTTCTTCAATTTGCAATGTCTTCTTCAGCAGCACCATGCCAAACTTTCCCTTCTCTAGCTTCAAAAAGTTCATGAGTTTAGGAATGAGGCTAGGATCTAGAGGCTGTTCCAAAATTTTCCCTTCAGTGGTGATCTTCCTGACCTTGCTACCCTCTTCACCTTCCTCGTGGAATAAGACAATCTGCTGGACGTGCCTCTCAGCCAGTTCACAATATACATCATTCTTCAGCAAGCTCACCATCAGCCGGTAATAACCATCAGAGGCATGAGGAGCCGAGATGACCCAGACTCTGTTCTTTCCAGCAAAGCTTGCAAGAATATTGGGAGAACTGGATCCAGATGGGAAACGCACCATGCGTGAGCGAAATGTTGCGGATGTTCCCTCATCCTTAATCATCTCCAGCTTAGATCTTTGCATTGGCCATACTTTATTCCCTCTGCTCTTTGCCTGGACATGAGAAGCATCTTCTATAGGGGCTGGTGGTGGGTTCTTGGGTGCCAAAGAATCCCTCTTGACAAGTGGGCGTTGGCGATGCCTTCCAGAAGGGCTTATAAGCTTTTTGGATACCTCAGCTCTCCTCATCTGTGAAGCCCATCTGCTGGTACTGCCCCTGTGGGCCAGAGGTACATTTCCGCTCCTGAGACGCCCTCTCTCAGCTTGCCTCAGTGGCTTTTCAGAGCCACACGCTAGCCAAGCCGCCCATAGCACTGTAAAGCTCAGAACCAGTGTCCAGTTCATTGTGGGACAGACTTTACAAATAAAAAGGGAAAATAGGGGATTGTTAATGACAATTCTCATTACTGGCACAGACTTTACAACGTGTAATATTATCACCCCCCTGCCCTCCTTGAAAAAAAAAAGCTGCTGCTCTGATTGAAATGCTTTGTAACTTCCTTCTAAATTTCAGCTGATCAAAGGCTCCAAATTTTGCCCCACCTTTTCAAAAAAAAGAGGTGAAATTCAACTCTAAGAGCATATCCAACATCACCACAGCATCCATCAGAATGTATTATCTTTTTTGCTATGTACTTCACTGATTTTCCACAGTAAGAAAGAGGGAAGAAAAAGTGGTGGAAGAACAACAACAATGTCTGGACTCCTTACAAAGGCAGGACCAAGTTGTGTGAAGCTCCCATAAAATTCAGTGAATCAAGTCAGAGCTATGAGGCGATAAAACACTTGCCTGAAACCACTTTAATATAGTCATATACACTACAGAGAGTAGCCTTCTGTGTGAGAAGGTAGACTGGCTAGACTTGCCTACAGAATTGGTGCTTTTAGACCTGCATGCGGATTAGACAGTGCGTGTAGAAATCTTGCTTGGGGATTAAGTGGCTTAACAAAAGTTTAAACAAAAAATGTTTTCATGTAATTATCAATGGGCAACCTTTGATGCCCTGAGATAAAAATGGCTGTATCATTTACATATACATTCATCAAGCACAGGCACATATGGTTAAGTCCAACTCATCACAAAAGCAAGAAAGGAATGTCAAAACTTACCCAGACGCAAACTTCTTTTTCCAACAGTTTTTCTCTCAGCACCTCTCTTTATTCTAAGAACATTGCCATGTAGATCTGTTATAGGCAGCTTAACAGTTTTTCTACTACAAAACAGTCCCAAGAAAGCCTGGCTTAGCTGTGGCTTCTTTCTTTCTTTCTTTCTTTCTTTCTTTCTTTCTTTCTTTCTTTCTTTCTTTCTTTCTTTCTTTCTTTCTTTCTTTCTTTCTTTCTTTCTTTCTTTTCACCCTTTCGCCGGGTGCAATGAAAAGGAGTTTCCTGAAGGATATTTGCTTCTCCCCATCTAGCTCCAGCTAATGCCTTTTCTCCTTAGCAGCCACAGAGAGGCACTTTTCGCTGTTGCTTGTCTGGACTCTCTCTCTTACTCTTTTTAAAGTTTCATGATCCTCCCCATCAGTCCTATACGCCTCCTCCTTCTCCTCCTCCTCCTCCGTGGAGTGCAACTCCTTTGTCTCCCTCGACCCAAAGCATCAATGTTAATAGATTTTCCAGGCCGAATTTAAACACACACATACAAATGAGATATGGGGCGGGCAGTGTGTTTCTCCTACACTTTGCTCACTTCGCCTAATCTTCTCTCTCTTAACCCCCTTTTCTTCCTCTCTCCACTTCTTTTGGATCTCCTCCCAGAAATGTCAGGATAATTTCAGCCTAGCTCTAACCCAAACTGAAACAACAGCAGCCGCAGCCACTGGAAATGAAGAGGAGGGGGGGTTGGAGGGAGAAAGAGGGAGTGAGCTTCAGTACAACAACAGAGCTGCACAACATTGCCTCTTTACCCACTTGCACAGACATTTGGGGGAGAAAGGAAAGGGGGTTTTTTTGGGGGGAGGGTCTGAGACATTAAACATGATCATGGTTGGATGTCTGTAAAGGAGTACTTTCCCCTCACCCAAGGATGCTAAATCTATTTCTTAATTTAATATATACCACTACATGTACTGCGTTGTAGTGGTGTATAGTATTAGGAGTTTAATTTAGTACCAATGTTTGGATTCAGAATTTGGATTCATAATTCAGAATTACAGCCTTTCAGATTTTGAATTATAACAATTTTGAATTTCTAGACAGTCAGAATGCTGTTGCAATCAATATAGATGCTATACAGTTATTATTTCCCCCTTTAAAAAAACACAGGCAAAACATTTTAAAGGATTTCCCTGTGTCCTCTGACACCTTCCCAGGGATTGTCCCAAACAAAAAGAGTGCCCACCAACAGCTACCTGTGCCTAGGTATTAGAAAATGACTGTAATGGGCAAGTGCCTAGGTATTAGAAAATGATTGTAATGGGCATATTGATTGAACCCTGAACAGTGAGAATGCCAGCAACAAATGCCAGCACCATTGGCTAAGCAGAGGGCAGGTTGCACTGGGGAGGGGGCAAACACCCTGAGCAGCCCTGACAGGCAAATCAGAGCAGCAGCCAGCCAGTGGTGAATTGGAACTGTGCCGACAACATGGGGCAGAGCACAGTTGAGTGAGTGAGCACAATTTTGGAGTAGCAGTTGGAAGAATGAAAGAGGCAGAAGGAGAGGTCAGCAGAATGACGCATGGTATGCCTAGTATTGTGAGCAGAATGTGCCTTTCTATCTTGCTTAAAGGGGACTTCAAGAAAGCCCAGCAATTGTAGATGGAACTTAAGGAAAATAAGTTTTTCTACAGATCCAGGTTTCAGGCATGAGCAGTGAGGACTGCCAGTGTCCTCTGCCTGGGAGAACAGTCTCTCACTGGGCACACTCATTGCTGGGCAAGACAGCAGTCACACTACCACCTTGGCCAGACCTCCCAAAATAGGTTCCTTCTCAGCCCAGTAAGATGATGGATTGGTCTCTTTTGGCTTGCAGGGCTCCTGCATATACGCTTCTGCCTATGGCTCTGCCTCTGCCATGACCTTCCTCTGGGGTGGTGTCTCTGGAGGACAGGCCCCTGCCATGCTTGTCAAACTGTCCAAGACAGCTTGCCCTATTGTTGCAGGGACGAGGGATTTGGACTCTAGAATAAAACTGCTGGTACTGCTGATTGGGGTGCTATGAACATCGTAAGTAGGTCTATTCATAAAGCATTTAAGAAGACAATTACCTTTTCGGGGGGGGAATCAGTTTTTCTGCTTTGTAATTTTTTTTATTTGGAACATAGGTAAGGACTCTATGGGTTTGAACTTATCTTAACAAAAACATTTTACTAAAATGCTTAATAAAAGCATTTTACTAATTTAGTAAACAACTGCTTTTGCAAAAATAAACACATCTTTAAAAACTGACCTATAAAACACAGGTAATATGTTTTGCTCAGCCTTACAAAGCAATATTATATATGGCCCTTCTATATTTGACAGTAAAGCCAATCAAGCATACAATTCAGTTATTCTGTTACATTTATATTGTAGCTCATGGTGCTACACATTGCTCCCTTCATGTAATTATCTAAGCAACCCTGAAATGTACATTAGGCTCATCTAGCAAGCTTCAGTGAGGAACAGAAATTTCAACCCAGGTCTCCATGTTCCCAATAGAGGTTGCACTAAGTACACCCAGAAGAGGAAAGTATAGCTGGTTTCACTTAGAAGTTGCAACGGTTTGTTTAAGAAAAGAAATTGATTACTGTTCATTGCTTTTCCAAAGCAACCGCTTGTGTTATTCAGTGATCATTATTAAACAAGTAACTAAAATGTTAGAATTCACTATGTTACATTTTAGTCTTATCAGTAGTAAACATTTAGAAGACAAAAATAACAAAAAAAATCCCCACAAATGAGCCCCAAAGGCGACATTTTAGTCATAACAGATAAAAATCACTCAATATATGTATGTGTGCACGTACATACAATGACACTGTTACCACTTGTTAGTTATTGCGTGAAAGGAATACTGTTATGCACTCATTCCCCTTTCCTCAAAATAGTAAATTATACATAACATTGTTACTTGTAATATATTATTTCCAAATCCTGGCATTTAAAAAGACCTACTGAAATCTAAACTGTAGGTGGCATTCACGGGGTAGATTGTCTCCTTCTCATAGTCTCTAGCAGTAAAATATTTGAGTAAAATTTGAAGCTATTGTATTTGTTTATATGCACTAAAAACATTCAGTATCCAGTGCATTTGAGTATACAAACATGCATGCATTTACACATAGGTACCACTAGAATAGAGTCTAGCATTTCTCATACTACAGTCACTGAGATTTATTTGGAACTGTGGAAAAATTGGAACTGCCGAGCTGGAAGGGACCATATTTATTTATTTATTTATTTAACTTGCATGCCGCCCACTCTACCCAAAATGTCTCTGGGCGGCTTACAACAATTAAAATGCAATTAAAATACAATAAAAGATAAAACGATTAAAATACAATTAAAATTGCCATCAGGACTCACAGTTGATGTTATTTCAATTAAAAGCCTTCTGGAACAGGAAGGGTTTGACCTGGCGCCAAAATGTCATCAACATCGGTGCCAGACGAATCTCAGTCGGGAGGGCGTTCCATAGTCTGGGGGCAGCTGCCGAAAAGGCCCTTTGTCTACAAGCCATCCCTCTTACCTCCTTGAGGGATGGCTCTTTCAAAAGGGCTCCCTGGCTAGATCTTAACTGCCGGGTAGGCTCATATGGAAGGAGGCGGTCCTTCAGGTATCCAGGGCCCAAGCCATTTAGGGATCACTGACTCCACAAACCCTGTCATGGAGGCACAGTAGGGAATCAAATTCTCAGATCTGAGCTATTCAGCAGTTCAATCATTCCTGCCAAGTTTTTATAGTATAGGTTTTATCAAAACGTTCTCTTGACCTTTCAAATAGTACAAGGGGATGATTGTGTCTCTCATTTGGCTAACAGGAGAGATCCTTGAGCAACAGACTGTGATGGTAGGAGGAACACTTTGAACAACGTAGATCGTCCAAGAACTCCCCACCCTACTGAAGCTGCTCAGTGTTGAGACAGCCAACTCATTTTGGCACCTGAGATAAAAAAAATCCCCCAGGCTGCTTGCCCCATTCTTGGTAGGAAATAAATGCAACAATTAAAAAAAGATCATGTAACTTACAATTTGCTGTGTTTTCATGACTCTCAAAATGTGCTGGCTGAGGCACTCACTTCACCTTTCGCTCCCTGTTTGATGGTAACCCTTGATAAAATAATGGGACCATTACAATTTAAGATTTTCACAGTGCACATTTAATTAGGCATAACATGATCAGTAAAGTCTGGATGTGTATCAATGAATAAATAGCATGCAAGAGGAGAACCATGACATTTTAAAAGTTTCAGCATGGTGACATGCTGCCGTTCCATCACTTAACATGGCACTCATTCGTATCAGTACAGGAGGCCATGGCATGTGTTTTGGAGCAAAAGAGGAAGAGAACGGATCACTACAAGTTCCGGCTGGAATTAAGACATGATACCAGAGAAGTGCCACCACATATGCTTGCAGCGCAGCTCCACCACAAGGATTTGTGGAGAATAAGGTAAAGGTTCCCCTTGACATTTTTAGTCAGTCGTGTTCGACTCTAGGGGGCGGTGCTCATCCCCGTTTCCAAGCCGTAGAGCCAGCGTTTGTCCGAAGACAGTTTCCATTGTCACATGGCCAGCATGACTTAGACCCGGAACGCTGTTTACCTTCCCACCGAGGTGGTACCTATTTATCTACTCGCATTTACATGCTTTCGAACTGCTAGGTTGGCAAGGAGCTGGGACAAAGCGGCGGGAGCTCACTCCGTCGTGTGGATTCAATCTTACGACTGCTGGTCTTCTGACCCTGCAGCACACAAAGGCTTCTGTGGTATAGCCCACAGCGCCACCATGTCCCATTGTGGAGAATATTGTACCTCAAAATTGTCTTAGCACCACCTGGCGGAAGTATGCTGCTGGTAGCAGCAAAAAACCTCTACCTGAGAACATCAAGCCATATTTGACAGAAACATCAAGCCGTATTTGACAGAAGCATGCCAATGTGCCAACATTCCTTCTTGAAAATTTAAGAAAAAATTAGGGAGTAAAACAAAAGTGTGTGAGGGAGGTGGGATTGCACACCAGATGAAAAGGAAATGAATTGGTTTTGCAGTACTCAATGGGATGTCAGTTGTACAGTGCAAAATAGGAAATGAATTGGTTTTGCAGTACACACTCAATGGGATGTCAGTTGTATAGTGCAATGAAACGTGGGGGGGGAGTAGTAGCCCCCCAGCGGGATAGATTTGATGTGGAGATAGCATGGAGGGGGAACAAAAGAATCCGTAATGGCCGAACGTTGTCTGAATCCAAAAAACGGAGTCAAAATTCAGGAGAAGTAACTTGGAAACATTTTGCAAGTGTAACCGCAGCCAGAGTTTCACCTTTGAAATGCATGATGGATTACATCAGAGCCTCTAAACAGCACAAATTAGATTCTTTCAGCCTGAGCGCTTTGCTGACAAAGTGTAGTTGCTCAAGTATGAGGAGAATTTAAATAGCAATGTGTGAAATACCACGCAAGGGCACACGTGGTAGGAGCAGTAGAGAACGAGAGTTTGGGACCTCTAATCGGCCTCAAATCTGAGGTCATACAGAGGCCAGCACTGGTGTTCTGCAGAGTGCTGCAAATGCCTCAGGCAGCTGATTATAAGCAACATGGAAAGGATGCAAATTGCTAGGTGTTTAATATTTTGCTATGTCTATTTTATTTATTTATTTATTTTACTC